TATGATGCTCTTGGCAATGTTAATGGACGCTTTCATGGAAACCACCCCCGAGGTTCCAATCCAGTACAGGTGTGATGGGAAGCTTTTCATTTCATGGCGCCTCCAAGCTGTCACTAAAGTCAGTGGAACTGTGATCAGAGATATCCTCTTTGCTGATGACTGCGCACTCAGAGCCGGATATACGCAACAGGTGATGGACAATGTCTCGTCCGCCTGAGACAATTTTGGCCTCACCATCAGCACAAAGAAGACAAAAGTGCTGTACCTGCCCGCGCCAAGAAACTTGTACCAAGAACTAAATATTACAGTGAAGGGTCAGAGGCTTCAAGCCGAGGAGAACTTCACCTATCTCGGTAGCACACTCTCTAGCTCTGCTAACAATGATGCTGAGGTCAACAACCGCATTGCCAAGGCCAGTAGTGCATTTGGGAGGTTGAGGAAACTTGCATGGGAGCGAAGAGGTATCTCACAGGACACAAAAATCAAAGTCTACAAGGCAGTTGTATTGTCTACACCATTGACAGACGGCATGAAAAACAACTACAACATGTTCATCTCCGGAGCCTTCCCAGCATCCTCAACATCTGCTGGCAATATACGATTCCTGATTCAAAAGTGCTGGAAAGGGGGCCTTTCCCAGCGTTATCACCATTATGCATAAGCAGTGGCGAAGCCAAAGGTCCTGCTGGTCCTGCTGAGCAGGACCAAGAATTTCCAAAGATAAGACTTACTGTAAACAATAAACAATTTCTTCTTTGCAAAAAGGAAGTTTCAAATTCTTTTTGATAAACAGTCCCCAGTTCCGCCAGCTGATACAGGCATCCCGTGCTAATCTCAAGGTCCTGTTCTCTTCTACGGCAGCCCTGTATTTTGGTCCTGCTCATAACTATGATACCCTGTGTTTGGTCCTGCTTCACAATGGGCTTTTGTGAATTTAGTCCTGCTTCACAATAGTCTAGAACAAAGAGCAGTCCTGCTCAATCTCGGGAGCAGGACCTCGTCGAAATGACCATCATAACATTTCGTAAGCAGTTGTGATTTGATTGGTCGAGGGTTTACCTACGTAGGTCAAAGAGCATTGTTTTGAAAACCTTTGGTCCTGCTATTTCTGAGAGCAGGACTGCAAGAATTGCCCTGTGCATTCTCGTTCTGCTATGAGATACTAGCAAGGAGGCCAGTTCAAGTATTATAGCGAGGCGATGTGAATGCGGATTTTCTGCTTGCTTTGGCAATACCAATGATATTATTATTGACAGCAAAACTTGCCTCAGTTGAGCTGCATAAATTTTATTTGTAACAAGAAAGAGTCCAAAGTTCGCAAGAAAGAAATGTAAATAACAAGAATTGGCTGTATGAGGCACTCTGATTTCGGCCTTTGTACGATCGTTTGAGGCACGGTATATCATGGTGGCCTAAATAAAATTTTCTTAGACTTGGACAAGGACGATGAAAGCATAATTGAATTTACTGTTGTGTGATTGAAAGTTTTGAGTTGGAGAATAAACCAATTTCAGCGGAATTTGCATTTTTCTACCTGAATTGTTTTCTCGTCTAATGGTTTATCTAATAAAGTTGTTTTCATTGATAATGCGACACATTATTCGATTGTACCTCTCTTTATCAGCTGCAGAATAATTGTTCTGCAGAATATGTGAACTTGCCCCTACAGACTTTAAACTCTGTTGTTTATTAAAATTATTTTAATAGAGTATCTAGATTGGTCAGGTTTATATTATGTGTGGAATACCACAAATATATGATATGCAACTTCAAATGCCACCCCTACCCCCCTTTTATCGTCAAATTTAATTATCACCAATTTGAACTTTTACTTCAGCTGTAGAGGCTTACTACAATTTAACATATATTTGTTTGAAAAGTAAGCACCCTAAAGCACGTCTTTAAGTATGGGTTTATTTTTGAAAAGATAGACATCGATTTAAAATTTGCTTTTCACTGAATTTAAGAAAAAATTCATCTGCAAAATAGAATTTTTGTCCATAGGCTTTTCCAATTGAATAAGGGCGTGGCCCTGTCCATATAGCAGGACCAACAATTTTTGGCTAGCTTCGCCACTGTGCATAAGGTGCAAACCCGCTGGGCTGCCCATGTTTCTAGAATGGCAAACTCGCGAATACCCAAACAGCTATTCTATGGAGAGCTCAAGCACGGTGATAGGAAAGTCTTTGGTCAGCGCAAATGATACAAAGACACTCTGAAGGTCCACCTCAAAGACTTCAAGCTTAGCCTCTGACAGACCTGCTTGGCGAAGTCTCATCAACAGGGAGCCCTTCACTCGCAGGCTAAACGCGTGGAAGCTGCAAATAAAAAACGCAAATCACGAAAGGCAAGAGCTGAGAACGCAGCAAACACTCTACCTACCCACTGGTGTCAGACAATTGGGAGGGGATTCCATGCCCGTATTGGCCTCATAAGCCACTCACGGACCCACAGGTAACAATATTTCTATTATTATTATTTTTTCTATTATATTCCTGTTGTCATGGTGTTATTCGATCACGAATTGACGAACATCATCGTCATTAAAGCTTTCCAGTTGTTTCTAGAATCAATAGCCTGGTCCACATCTAAATACTGTCGACAATACTTAAGGAAATGTTGGTTTCGCTCCTTAAGCCAAACGAAACTATTGCCAAAGTAATTGCCAAACATCAAGATTTTTGCTGGTTATTATCATTTGTTGTGCATGTATTGTCTTTTTATAAAAAAATTAGCCTTTTCACATTCCTTATCGATCACGAAGTCACATTCATAACAATCAAAAGTAACGACCATTTTCTTCCATTTTCCTTGAAAAGGCAATACATTCACAACAAATGATAAAAACCAGCAAAAACATTGATGTTTTTCAATTACTTAGGTAATAGTTTCGTTTTGTAGCAATAGCTAGATTTTTCTGTAGGGTACCCTTTTTCTCGTGACAATGTTTCATCTCAATATTCTAATTTTTTATAAATGTATGTAGATACTTTGATATTTACCTGCAATTTTGTTTGTTGTTTTGAAATAATGATTAAAAGTTCTTTCTTGGTATACCTTGATTAAGCATTTATGTTTTATAGGTTTCATCCAGTAGTATGTCTACCAGATTTCCGAAAACAATTAACTTTTACACTTTGACTTTGAAGTTTTTACTGCATATGTTGAAGCCATGTGGAGTATTTGCGCCCGCGATTCCTAGCCGCCATGACCAGCGTCATGCATTTTCCCCTATGCTTATAGCTATAATAACTTAACCCATAGCTAGAGCAGTACCGTATGAAAGATAAAATAAATGGAGGACACCATTGAAAATGGGATTGTTTATTGCAAAGAGAGATTTTTGACCCAAACACCAAGATAACAGGAGCTACGGCCCTAGTACCAACAATTCTAGAGCACGGGAAAGCCTTCTTTTTAACCTTCGCTCTGAATACGCTAGATATGTTTGAAGCTGATAAGGTTTAGACGTAAGACAACGTAGGTTCCAAATCTTTGATTGGCTTAGCGACCAAAATTCTACATACCACCAAACCAATCAGAATTCTGCAAGCAAATCAGAATTCAAGAATATGACAACAAACGTGCCTCGCAGCTAGATTTAGGCCTATTTTGGAAGTTTTTACCACTACCAACAAAAAAATAAACGTGTAAAATGTGCTGAGAGATTGTGTTAATTTTTATTACGAAAAATCGAATCTTTGATAAATTTATGAAAAAGACAGCCGTTGTATTCAATAAAAATTTCCGTGATCGTTAGTTACGAAGGCTTGAAACTGTCCCTTTCAAACCCTTATAAGAATTAGGAGGGAGGGATAACATAACGATTACAGTTTTTAATCTTTAAAAGTTGTTTTATCAACTTAATCAACAAACATATGGGGCTCTCTCTCGATTAGTTTACCTACTTATGGAGAGCTCCTCCTTAATCAGTCAATCTTAAATTCAATCATGTCAAGTAACTTGTTTCATTTGTTTTTAGTATTGTTAGTTTTTAGTTCTTAGTGTTGTAATGTATCTTAGTTGTAGAGTTTTGTGTATGAATTGTATTTAGGATTGATTGATAATGAATGAAAAATGAAAATGAAAAGAACTGCTACGGCCTTGTAAATGCTGTCGCAATTCGTCGACAATGAAAAGGGTGGCAAAATGAAATATGCATCATGTCTTCTTAGGAAAAAAACAAACGTTAAGGTGTTTGTGTTTAAAGGTGTTCGTGTTTGAAAACTCTGTCTTCTTAGGAAACAAGCAAAACATGGCGCACATTTTCATGCATGAACCTTAGAGAACAAAAATCGAGGACTGGCCTAAGTTTCTGCCATAACGGTCTGGGCCTGGCCTACCTCAAAACCCGACTAAAACTAACCTGGGCTTGGCCCAGGTTTTCCGCGTCCAGACCAGATCAGTGGTCCAGACCTGCCTGGACCACGCCCACGTGACAGTAAACCCGGGCTTGTTTGCATAGTGTGGCCAGGGCTTAACACTCAGTCCTCACAAACTGCAAATCTTTCGTTCCAGGAACTCAAAAAAGAAGTTCTAGCGTCAGTGTTTCTAAGCAAAACCCTATGAAATCAAGGGTAAGGTTTTAAGGTCAAACAACTGGCTACTGCAATATAGATGCTAAAAACCCCAAATGCACTTATTTATAAGCAGTCCGATCTCACTTCCTATTGTTGCTAAGCAACTACAGTATCCCAAATAGCTAGCAGAATATTTTATCTTTTTTTGAAGATTACGTTTCTTGCAATACGAGACAGTGATTGTCTTGCTTCAAATAACGAATGCACAAAGAACAAGGGAGGAGGGAGTCAGTAGAACGTTTAACGATAAAATGAAATGATAAAATATCATGACATTAATTATATGTTGCACGGGATCCATCCTCTTCTTGTAGGGGATCCTACTACAGGTTATTTTAAGCCCTTGATTTGCTGACAGAGAGGGTAAGAAGAGGGACCGTTTATTTAACGCAGCTCAGATAGACGGGGGGGCGTAAGTTAATGGAGCCGTTAAAAACGTTAGAAATACGTTAGAATTATCATAGCTTTCGAGGCAAGTTGGAATGCGGGGGGGGGGTGGGGGGGGGGGGGGGGGGGGGGGGGGGGGGGGGGGGGGGGGGGGGGGGGGGGGGGGGGGGGGGGGGGGGGGGGGGGGGGGGGGGGGGGGGGGGGGGGGGGGCGGTGGACGGCGGTGCAAAGGAAAATTGAAGACTCATAACAAAAACAAAAATTTTGCAAAAAGACTCTCTTCCTTTGCAAAAATGTTTGGGGCAAGGCCCCGTCTTTAGAGGCCAAATTTTCGCAAAAAGCAAATGAAAATACGAATCTTTCAAGATTTTATCATTAATCATTTATGAAGATCTTGGTAACCTATTGTTTTTCATTTCTTTTGTTTTCTTAGAAACAAAGATCCTTCCAAGAAACATCTTTTTAGAAAGCTTCCAGGTAATAAAACAGCCACTGTCGCAGTTACAGGGAATATAATTTTACTATTGTTTTTTTCCTTTCTTTCTCTGCCAATAAACACGTTTCATTTTTAAAGAAACAGTCTATAAGAAAATCGAGTCCTAAAAGACGAAAAAAATAAATAATAGTTTTAATAACCTCCAGCCTAAAGAAACTGCTCGAAAATCCGCCGAATCCCTGTTCGTTCGATATAGTTAATAGAAGGAAGAACTCCTCGCGACAGTTTCTAAAGATGTTCTGATTTATGTCATCTTATGTTGGGTCTTTGGGCTGCTAAAAATCGGTTTTTAGTAATTGCTACGTAAGAAAACTTTAGCACTGAAATAAAAAAAATTAAGAAAATGATAACTAACTTTGAGCTTAGTTATTTACAAAATGCATGTGACATTAAGAAAGCTTTTCATGTCATAGCACCATTTCGATGACTAATGTCATAAAAATTTCACCTTCCACGTTGAAAAAGCAACACTCAAAAGAAACACATTTTCACGCCATACAATAAATTTATGATAGGCTTTTTATAACTACAAATAAATGCAATTGTAAGGCATGGCTCTTCTTCACCAAAATTAGAAGTAGAATTTAATACTCGACAAATGAGATTTATAATACACTACCATAAATTTTCATCTTGAAAATTAGACCTATATTTAATTACAAAGAATGGCAGTTGAGAATCTCAGGCCCTTCAAGAAATGAAACGACCTCAGCCTTGGGAAAACTTTCTTTTAAACTTGCGCATAGCCAAAACGCTCGTAACCGTATGTTCCAGCATAAGAAACATACCAAATTATATTCAGAGACATAAACATTTTTGATAAGCAGAAACATTGATGGAAAATGGGCAGGATTTGCTGGAGAAAGGTGAACGAATAAAGCACTTTATGGACCAGCCAATTAGGTAAGTTACCGGACTCAACTTTTCATGGTGCTCTCCAAAAGTGATTCTTCTGTAAAACTAGGGGAGAAGTTAACCCAGGACCGTCGCAATTAGGGGCGTAAAGGGTATGACACCCCTTTGAAAAAATTGCCTTTCAAGAATGAGTAGCTAATTGTCTTCGTTGGCAAATATTCAAAACAGTCGGCAAAGAAAGGATGGCTCATCCGATTTGTCGGAAAACGGGGCTTGGCAACCCTATTTGAGCACAATAGCTAGCGACGGCTAGGAGCTAATCTTGGGGGGGGGGAGGTTTGAAGACGCTTATGGTTGCGAGGCTAGAGCAGTATTACAACGCAGCGTTTGTTTGATTGATCCTATAATTCATTTTTCCTATTGTTCCTATTGCTCAAATATCTCATCTGATAATGCAAATTTTTTTTATTTTTACAAAAACTAGCATAAATCCAATCAAAAAATGACGCTGCAATTGGGCAAAACTAATATTGCACCTATAGTTACAATTGGAATAAGATTTATACAGTGGCAGATTGTCTCACAATGCTGCAAGAGTCAATCAATACTAGAGCGATTAATTGAATTCTGAATTTGGTTAGGTCACAAATATTTTGAGCTGCTTTATAACAGCGTTGAAAGCCGCATTAAACAAAGGTGAGCTACGTTGCACGTGTTAGACACACTGCTCCCTTGAAGACTGGGGATGTCCATTTTACATTCATTTTGGATCAACTGCCCTTTCTCTTGAACACAGGGACAATCCATCAAGGTTTGGGTCACGGGACCAGACGGCATTCGTAGCGTCGTGTCTGGAGGCAAATACACACCACGGTGAAGGAGCACGATCGTCATATGCGTCATTTGCTGCCATTCCTCGACAGACAATTAGTTTGGCAAAATCAAATTGATAAGAGTATCCAAATTGGTCTCCTTAGGGTTGTCTTTGAGGACCTGCTTTATCTTCTCCTTCTGGTCAGGCAGAACATCTTCCAGTAGCGCTTGCAACTCATTTACCCTCGAGGGAGAGTAATCTGGTAGGGTTGTGTCTTTTTCGATCTGATCTTGTTCTAAGTATTAAAAATTAACAAAAATGAAGCCGAAGCTCTAAGGAGTGGAGAAATATACGATAACAAAGAACTAGCAAATATTACAATTTTTTATCATCGCCAATGTCGCTTTTTGCCTTTTGGTCTCCAGTCAAAGGAAGTAATACTGTAAAGCTATTGTCCTGTGTGGGCTTTCTTGAAATAAGATACTATTCTGCAATTATGCTTACCTCGAATAAGCGCCCATGGGAGCTTATTTGAGAGGGGGGCTTGTTTACAAAAAGGATTTTTTAGGTAGGGGCTTTTTCGAGGGGGGGTTGGGCTTATTCGAGCGTGGGGGCTTATTCGAGGATTTACGGTATGGGCGAAGCTAATAAAGTTACATAACTATGATTGTGCAAGTCTTCGCAACGTAGACGGAACCTCATCAAATTTCCAAAAAACCCTATACCAGCCTTTTATTCTTCGTATCTGTGCATAAAACCATTCTAATCTTATATCTCAAAGTCAATGAAAAAACAGACGCATCCCATGATACTCTAATTAAGCAACATAAATGTTTTGGTTCGTTGGAAATAAAAATTGCTACAACTAGGAAGCGTTTCGCGCAATGGGAAGAAGACGGCTGTCAATCAAATTGCGATCTGTTGTCCATGCATAACAGCGCGTCGGTGATGAGTGAACTAATCCGGTTTCACTACCTTGTTCAAATAGCAGGTATAGCAAATTGAGCTTGAGATTAGGACCTTCTGCATCATATATCTGAAACTAACTCACTTCTTTAACATTGAAATTTTCCAGATCCCTTATAGAAGTAGCAAGATAATTTAATTAAGCCTTACATTGAATGGATCTGCATTGGTATTTGCTCATTTCAATCAACCAAATCTAAGATATTGAATCCAATTTACAAGATTCAATATCTTATCTTATTTCAGGAAATCCCTATACATATAAATGCATTCTATAGCTAAACAATTTATAAACAATTAAAATTTAAAAAACATTTATGAATTTTTACCTTTTTTGCTGGATAAATCGGTGCTTTTGGTCTCGTTTTCCACAGACACATTTTTATGCTCTATTTGTGTTGTATTCTGCAAGAGAACAGAAAAGTTATGAAAAATGTAATTGCTTGTTATTTTGCAAACACTTCAATTGGAACTCCTATAAAGGGAAGGGGGCAAAAAAATTAAAACTGGTTTCAAAGGCTAATCAAACTCCTGTTACTTCCTAGAAAATGAAATATTACAAGCACAATATAACATCATTGCCAAAAACAGTATTTTTCAATATTCTTTTCACAGGAAGAATTTTTTCTCCTATATATATATATATATATATATATATATATATATATTTTCTTTCAGAAATTTTTGGAATCATACTTCAGACAATTTTTTCGACAAAGATAAGTGGTGTACAAATTACACAACAATAATTATGTGCAAGATAATCCATGCCAAGCAATGGCAAAACAGAAGATTTTAGAGGAAGAAGATAATCAGTTCTTACTTTTTGCTCTGAAAGTGGCATAGTATTCTCAGTATTTGGAAGCTGATCTAACTGCTGCTTTGAACTGCTCAGGTTTCCATTTTGATTAACTGCTGAATCCTGGACTGTCCTTTTAACTGATTCCTTTTCTTTATTCACATTATCACTTGGAGTTTTTTCTGGATGGTAATATTTGCATTTACTTCCATAGGTACATTTTTTCATGTAAGGACAAGGTCTTGGATTTGAAAAAGTTCCTTTGCATAAGAATTTATCCAAACTTGGTCCATGCCTTCCAAGGGGATCATCAGGTGGCATGAAAACATCCTTTACAAAAGTGTACATTAGAAGTCTTTCATCAATAACTTTTTTCCATTCAGGACTTTCTTTTGTTAAGTCTCTAAAATTGTCATTAGATACAATTACACCATCATTTTCAGCTGCAAGTTTGACTATATATCTGTCATCATAACAAACTACTCGCTGTCCATTTACACGCCTTGATGGTGTAAATGATAGTATCTGATCTTTTTCCAGTTCTAACAAGATTTGCTGATCAACAATTGGTCTGTCTGGTTTTGAAGCCTCCTTTCGCCACTGAGGTACAAAAACAGTAATGTCATCATGTCCACGCTTTTTGAAATAATCTACACATAGTTTAATTCCTTTGCAGGAGAAAACATCCCTGTTACCATGACTAGAAAAAGAAGAGAAGAAAATCATCAAATGATGACTGAAATCAAATATGTGTTAAGCTAGCCCCACCTTTTTGTTGGTTCTCTGAGCTTGTGTGTGAACATGTATCTATTTAGAAATAAATAGGTTCTAATACAATGAAAGGAAGTATACACAACAAACATGTGAAAAAAGGCATAATCGGATCCATACCTCATTGCAACATTGCTTCCATCAACAACTATTGGTCTTAGATTAGAGGAAAATGAAGACACTGAACAACCATCCTTTTTCACTGTCCGCTTTGCAGATGGAGATGGTTCTGTTTTTGTTTCATTCAGAAGAGGTGGTACCTGTTGTGACTTGAAGGAATTATCCTTGTTCACAGTCTGTGATCTAAATGCTGGTTTTTTACAGGGATATAATGCTATCAATTGCTGCAGTAGTGCATTTTCGTCAATCGTTTGTCCTGTACCTATAGAATGACATTTTGCTAAAGCAGTGTGTATCTCCTCATCTGTGTAATCTAGTTTTGATGCATAATCTCGCAACTGGCTCCCAACAGTTTGCCATTGGTTTTGTTGATTTTGAACCTTGGCTGGATCATTAACAAGCATAGACTTTGGAACAGCACCTTTTGGAACGATTGTATTGTCAATAGCTGCTTGGTATGTTTCATTCAATGTTTGTAAACTGGACCTTGGAACTTGTGGAGCACCTCTGCAGACAATATCTTGCTGAACATAAGGCACATTCCTATCAACTGTTTCACCTTGGACAGCATGATAATAACCTTGGTAGTACTGAGTATTTGGTGTTCCATAATAAGTTGGCCCAAATGTTGCAGCTTGTCTTGTCGACTGCCTGATTATTCTCACAAATTCATCAAGAAATGACAAGCTTTGTTGTATAACTAGCTCAGAACCTTGCAACAACAATTCTGTAGCACTCAAAGGTCGTATAACAACTCCAAACTTCTGTTGCACACTCCAAATATACTCCTGTTGCCAAGAGCCACTGTTTACAATATCATTTGGAATAGCAAATATTGCAGTTTTTTCAGGGTTGTCAATTCCTTTCACAAATTCCTAGAACACGTAAATTAGAAAGCACTTTAGAATAATGGACAAAGAAACAAGATTAAGTAGGACCTTGAATACGCTTTGACTGAAAACTTCCTTGTCTACTTTTTTCTAGGTAATTATGTAACTATTAAACGGAAGGTGTTTTGTCTACCTTAGGAAAATTTTAGAGGTATATCGTAACTAATGCGGAAAATTTCCAGCTAAATACAGCTAAAGCAAAGAAATTGCGCAATTTGAAAGTCAGAAACTTCCTATGTATAAACAAGCGGCATTTCGACAACAATGAATGCGGAAAAAATTGAATTGCTGAATCAGTTTCCTGCTTTCGACACGTACCAAATAACCCTGCAACATGGCATCGATATTTTCATAAAATAGAGGCAAAAGCCATCTAATTCAAAGAAATTAAGCAAAATGCCTACAAAAACACCCTTTACTAAAATCTATTTTTAAAAATCATATCATTTCGAGCACCATCGCGGGAAAATGCCGGCCTATTCTATCGAGTTGTTTGATAAAGGAAGAGCACAACTTCGTGAATTGAATAATGCATATTTTTACGACAACAGTGCTAGTGCTGTAAATGTTGATGAACTTACCTTTGCTTTATCTCTCGCCTCTTTGGTACCATAAACCTTGATCCATTCGTTTCCAACTCTTTGAGCAGTTCGTGCATTAACGGAGCTGAACTCGAAACGGACCCCAAACAGAGTATTGATTTGAGGAGCAAGACGACGGATCTCCGAGCTCCTTTGAAACGAAATAACAAATTCACTAACTGATTCATTCTCCATAATTTTGAAACTTCATGTAAACGACTCCCCACCAAAATAGCTATTATTGCTCTTGAGTTTTTGGAATTATGTGTGCATTACGCGATGTCACCAAAACAGGCCTAAGTAACACAACTTAGACCATAAGCAGCAACAACAATGATTAAACTTTATGGTTGAAATATCTTTTCGTGAAGTAAACCCAATCCACAAAAATAAACAATTTTCTTTGGGAAGTATGATCTTCAGGTTGTGGTGCAAAATCGAGATGGACTTTTCCAGGTTTACGAATGGCGATATTCTGAACAGCACCAAAGCAGAAATAAAATTCCTTGTTGGAAATGACTGTCGATAAAATAAGCAAAAAAATCTTCGAGATTCACCAGAGACTTTGTTGCGTGCGATTTTGACTCTTCTAAGCATACATCTGATATTTGAAAACGTCGAGAAGTGATTCATAATAAAGAGGAACTAGCTGTCAATCATCTTACGAAAGTACTTTCCATTTGTAGTTAAACAATACCGATCTGCACAGGGGCAAATCCAAGCGTCATTTTCTCGCAGTTTACGTCGCAAATGGAAAAAAATATTATGAGTAAAAAGGACTGAATTCATTATTTGAAGAAAACGCCTACGCCTGGAATGGGGTAAAGTTCTAATCTTGGGGGAAAAAGTACTTTGAGGTACCAACATTCAAGTTTTGCTTATGTAAGCAAAATTATCCTACCATTGAGGGGTCAAAATTAACCAAAGGGTGCAATCCACAAGGGCACAAAGCCATTTCACACCGAAAGGCGCAAACCTGAGTACCCCCTGAGTACCAGCGCCAAATAGCCTGCGTCACAGACACCACATAAATACAAGCGCGGAAATAGAAGTTAGGAGTGGAGAAGCGGAGGAGCGTTTCCTCCTTTTTTGGTAGACTCGCCTCTGCTTCTCTGCTCGCTTTTCAATTGAGGCACTTGAAATTTTGTTGCTCTGATAGATTAGTGAAACTGCAATTCGCGGAAAAACCATTGCCAAATCAATAGGCTGCACGTAGATATTGGGCCAGCGTAATGAAGCCACAAAACTATAATGTGCACCCCTTCCTCCCCCCGAGAAAGAGTAACAACATGATCTGATAAAATGCGACAACAACGTGTCATGGAAGGGTCCTTGTCAGAATTCATAGAACCTCTTTAGGGGGCAGGGTAAATATCTGGGCCATTGCAATACACCCAACTATAACCAAAGAGAAAAATATACAAAAAGGAAACATATCGGGTTTGGTCAAGGGTGTGACCAATAGCTTTAGCACAGCCATAGATATAGGATCTGTATTTGAAAGCACTGTCAAACTTTCCAACTTTTTAGAAAAGAAGGTTATTTTTAGCTTTTTTTTCGCGCAAGCGTCCCATACACAGAAGCATGAGACTGGAGACTGCAAAGTTTAGCCTGCGCGCAGACTCTAAGTATCTTACTCTAAGTATATGGTAAGATACTTAGAGTCTGCGCGCAGGCTAGCAAAGTTCAGTTCAAACACTAGAAAAGCCCAAAATATGGCTAAACCGGAAGATATCTACTGGGGAGGGTAGGTAGAGTAAAACATCATGTCTCTTCCAGAATTAGAAATAAACTCTTTCCTAAAGAGAACAGCTACTTGTTCTTGCAGATCAATAACTGAAACTAAAAGATGCGAGTCTGCCATCGGAAAGCATTCACTAGAAAACTAAGATTGTGCCAAAAAACTATAATGGTGACAGGTTCTGAGTATTTGGCACAGCCCGGTCGTCTTTCCATCTAGCAACTTTAGAACCTATCTACATGAAAATAAAAAATTACCATGGTGGAGACAAAAGGAATTGGTATTCACCCTCAATTATTTTATTTCTGTATTGTTTTCAACAGGAATAGGCATAAGGGCTGGGAGGGCTACAGCCAACATTGAATCAGGCAACATTGTTTGCATTTCAGGCTCCATTCGGGCAGTGTTAGTTCAATGAAGCAATAAGATTCGGGCAAGAACCATACTTAGCCCCCTTAACATGTTGTACTATGTCAACAGGCAACACCCAAGTCAACAGGCAAGCGGCTCGCATTTCCGATTGGCCTATTTCGATGCATAATAAAATATATCATGGTATATCATACTGAGAGCAGCTTTCTAAATAAAAAGACGACTAACATGGAGCCTTGGGCTAGAAAGCAAAGCTTTCAACGACCGTACTTCAATTTAGGACATGCTTGAAGCCCTACACAGAACAACACAAATGCATACTTTGTAACATTTTAAGAGTTACTTTCTAGAATGTCTACGGTTGTTTATTGAGAAGCTGCCCCTCCATACCTAAAGATACAGAAAATCCAGCTTATCAAAATTCAGGGCAAATGTTAATTGAAAAGGTTAATGCTCAATATTGAAAAGTGAAAGTTTGGAAATGAGCTCAAGTAGTTTTCGACACTACGGAGGAGAAAGCGATACCAGTGTGCTTGCGTAATCACGGCTGGGATCGGGCAATGGCAAAGGTCAACGAGGTACCTGCCGCGCGTTAGGACCAAGAAAATTTAAGTTTGTTTCTATTCGCTTATCAAAGTGTGGGTTAGACAAAGAATTTCCTTTATAGCAGAGGATCGAAACCAATCAATGTGGACATTCGGAAATAGCATAACGGTAGGTCTTTGTCCACAGTTTCGAGGTTTCAATGGCCTTTATTCAATAGTTCTTTATGTTCAATTTGCAACTTTTGCAGGTTGTGTTTATTTTCTTGAAAGTAAATTTGGAAACAAAAAGCGTGTCCTGGAGTCGGTTTAGCTAAGAACCTACATATTGTTTTTCTTGACCATTTTTAAACGCTACAATCTGAACAAAACAAGCATCTGTCTTAAGGAACTTTGTCAATGTAGTTTTTACACAAAAGATTTTCACTATCGGTTACTAATGCTCTGTATATTTTGCATTTCAGAAAATTCGACACAAATTCTAACGTTAGAAACAAAAACTATGGTTTCTAGATGCTCACATTAATAAGTGATTTGAGTGTCAGTTGGGAAAAAGTACAGGTGGATGCTCATAATGAGAAAAGTCCGGTGTCATTTGCCGAAAAGGATAAGGCAATAAACCTTGCAAAGGGGCAGAAGGGTCAGCCTTGGTACAAAAGTATCACAGTTGAGCCTATCACATTCTTTTACGCGTGTGCCATGATTCTACACACACCAGTGATACAGCAATATGTTTACAGCCGTGTAGCAATAAAGCGTGGCCTATCAGATGCCATATTCCTATCAGATTCGAGCAAGTGCGAGCCTGATGTTAACATGGTATCATTCGCATACCGGGAATCGAGAAATTTTGTTCAAGCTGAGGCTTCTATGGTACATCTTGGGATTGTCTTGTCCGCCAGTGTCCCATCTATAATTATGGCCCTACTGCTAGGCGCATGGTCTGACAAAGTCGGTCGGAAAATAGTGATGATACTGCCGATTATTGGGGGTCTTGTCGAAGCAACTTTTATACTCATAATAATGTATGCAAATTTACCGGTATATGTTTTATTTGTCGGAAGCTTCATAAATGGAATGTGTGGCTTCTTTACCACAATGATATTAGCAGTGTTCAGCTATATGGCAGATATAACTGAAGAGTCGAAACGTGCCTTGCGTCTTGGTATAATTGAAGCTATAGCTTTCATTAGTGGGATGATAAGTCATTTGACCAGCGGCTGGTGGATAAAACATTTGGGTTTCAAATCTCCATACTGGCTCATATTGACATTGCATACCCTAAACCTATTATACGTTTTATTTATACTACCAGAAACTATCATAAAACCGGAGAGAAAATCACTTCAAGACTTATTCAACAAGTCACATATAAAACGAATTATCCGCCTATTCTCAAAAGCAAGTTACGATAAAAAATGGCCACTCATAGGCCTAATGCTAGCCTCTGCATTCATGATGGTGTCGTCAATAGGTTTCGGAAGTGTCATAGTTTTGTACGCCCTGGACACACCATTCTGCTGCTCGCCAATCATGATTGGATATTTTCTTGCCGAGAGCATGTTCGTGCAAGCAATTGGAGCAATGTTTGGGTTCTTTGTCCTTCGCAAATGCATCTCAGAAATGACTCTCACACAGATCGGGTTCGTATCAATCGTATCATCGCTGGTAATGATGGCATTCATCAAAAGAAAGCTGCTGATGTTCATTGGTAAGTATTATTTAACCAAACATCATTGGGCGCGGGCAAATTTATTTCAAGGGGTATGGGAGCTATAACGTCATAATGCAACACACCTCGATTGTCGGTAACTCTAACTCCAGTAACTCTAAACTGCCTAACGAATTATATAGGTATTATATACAGAAATGATAAGACCTTCTTTCAAACGATAAGTTACATTCACCAGTCGCAAATTTGTGCCACCAGTCGAAAAGAGCACGACTTTTGCAAGAACCAGGGCTTTTAAATGATCCAAATACGCTCTTTTAAGTAACGTTAAAACAGATGCATAGTTGTCACCTCTCCCAACTGACCAACTGAAACCGGGTTCGAAAATAAACGAAGGCAAAAAGCTTGCCCTCTTTTTTAAAGAAGAAGTTTTAGGTGGGAAAAAGTTTTAGTTGACCATGATATATCTGACTTTTCATCCTCGGTATCGCATCAAACACAATTTAACACGCAAAGATTCGATTTTTAAAACTTCACTTGAGGTACCACAAAAACCAAGAATCGATAAAAAGCATCATCTTAGGAGTACAAACAATTTTTCGAAAAACAAGGGTAGACATGAAGCACTCCATGAAAGATGGGGAATTTTCAAGTTTATTGTGAAGAATTTGTGAGACATTTGTTAGACGTTGACGGAATAATAACGAAATCTCAAAATTCTTTATTTTTTCAAATCTTCAAATCTTTTCAAAAAAAATATGTTGGAGTACTGAAGTTTTTTATTTTTTAATCCTTGGCATTCGTTTCTTGTAGCAATTTTCATATTAATATAATGGGTGTATACGAGTTAAAAATAAAAATGTTAGCCAATGTCCAAATTCTGGAAGTCTGCTCTTTGCATCATTCAAAGTACATTCGAGCTTAAACCCTTATAGTGAATTGTATATTGAACCTCGGGCGAAAAGGGCCATTAACAGTGCGGATAGTTGAATAACAGGAGGAAGTTCTGTCATATTTTTGATTGCTTCCACTAGTACTACTGATCATGTGATGTTTCTGTCATTGAACCCGGAACACTTGTAAAGCAAGGGTATCATTTCGGGCGAACACAGGACCGCCGACAGGGGAGGGTTGCCGGGGAAGTGCATCGGGGCCCGGGTTCATCCTGTAATTATGGAATGTATATTAATTATCATATTCTGGAATCTATATTTGTTGTCAAGCAAGGGGCAAACATGCATTGGCTGTCCCAGGGCCCGGCCTTGCTCTCGGCGGCCCTAGGAAAACGAATACGAAAAGCAAAGCCTGACATTTGCTTACTTTTATCTAGAAGGGCATCTAGATAAAATAAAGAGAAACATGGTATAAGCACTCTCAGTAAAATAGAGTAGCTATATATTGTCGGCTTTAAAATCACACGAAATTGGAATTAATCAGAATACTGGAAGCTACTGGGGTCATCTGCACCTTGGGGGAGGAGGAACTTAAGGGTTGATGTTTTCTAGAAACCCTTCATTTGTCGATATTTTCAGCAACAATTTCAAACTATCACATAGAAGCAGATAAAATTTTTACATGTAAAATTTACAAGGGGAGATTCCAAGAGCAAATACTTTTCACTGTATCAATCTCATGGCGACACAAGCCACAAATGCGTGCCTGCCCAATCTCAGGAATTTTATTCGGAAGTGAGTGATCAATTAGGAAGGACCCTATTACACAAGAGGAAAGATTTAGGCCTGACTCAAATGCAGCTATTCAGCTTCCTTTGAAGCTCCATCGCAATAAAAGATATTTGACCCAGGAATTTTTCCCAGTGCAGCAAATTTGTGAAACATTTCCGAGAATTAACAAGATTGCCGTTCTTAATGTAACAAGGAAACAGAAGTAGCCCTAGGAAACAGTGGTTTTTTAGTCGGAATTTCAATAGATGGGGAGATCAACTTGATGATACAGAGCAAAGATACAGATTCAAAATCTAGGGAAAATTGAACATTTCAGGTATCGTGAATAAAACGAAAAGTGATCATTGCATTCTACAGGAAATCCAAGAAAAAGGTTTCCTGACACAAAATAGACCTTGTGTAGTATCGTGCATAACAACTCATCCTTAAAAATACACGACTTCTTCGAAGGGGTCATTGCCCTGGACATGAGGGAAGTCCATAAGGACAGTTCAAGGTTCAATCCGCAAGCACCAATCTCATGCAAATGTATCATATGATTAGGCCTACTTGTCAAACATACCTCTATGATGTTGAAATCCGATTTGATCAACCTCTCAACAATGCACATTTAATTTCCCCTAACCCTTTGATATTTCCCTTACCAATGGAGTTCAGTTTTGGAAAAGACATGCAATCATGGTTTTCTGTGATCAAAATTTTCATGTGATTCATGAAATCGAACTGATAACTCATAACTGAACTATACAAAAGAGGAACAAGCAGATAAACCCATGATTAAAAAAGGCTTTAAGAAAACTTCCTGTTACGTAGCCAACTAGGCCCAGACAATGCGCATTGAACAAATCTATAACAACTTTGCTATGTATACCCCTAGCGATATACCCCTAGCGATATACCCCTAGCGGCAGGCTGTCAAAGCAATAGTGCTCATGTATACAGTCGGGTTTGTGGTGTTAAAGAGAACCAAAGTGTATATCAAGTTCTCCTTTCGCTATTTGGACATGCCGCTATCGACATCATACCGATGTCATAAGTAGCTTAGTTAACCTATCCCTGCACACATAATTTGTCCAAAACCATTTGTGCCTAGAAAATGTTCCAAAAACGCGCCGAAAATCCGGTAAAAACGCCAAAGTATTCAGCTAGCTTATGAAAATCGGGCTTAGCAGCCTTTTTGCTTCAGTTGCAAAACATGACTGGGACAAATCTGAACGAACTCGTGACTATGGTCTAGCTCGCAACGAAAGAACAAAAGGATCCAGCGAGAACAAGCTCCTCTCGCAGGCAAAACGAATCTGCAGAACATTCACTATAGAGCAACTGAATTCTCAAGGACAAATAAAGAAGAATCCAGCCTCATAATTTTGGAAAAGAGCCAGCCTGAATTTCAATTTTTTTGCTATTATACAAAAAGGGTTACTCTGGGTACCATTTAGTATCAGAACTATAATTAGAAACTAGTTACAGAAAATCCTCCGCATCCACTCAATTTTTGCCACCGCAGCTGTCTACAATACTTTATCTCCCGATTTATGAGTCCGGATTTATGTACCCAGGGTAAAAAAAGAGCGTAAAGGAGTGTTATGTTGTTTATCACTTGAGGGCAGCTATTTTATCTAAATAGGGTTTAAAGATGATAATTATTCAAGGGGAGCTATCGAAAAGAAAGATACATCTTTGCATGGTTCACAAGTAAAACATTCACCACAATATGGACCAATTCATATGTCCATTACAACCAGTATTATTGCGTTTCCTAATAATTTTCTATTTTTCAGTGCCAATAATTGGAGGATTTGGCGGGGTTTGCTTGCCGATCATAAGAGCCAGAATGTCTAAACTCGTGGTGGATGATGACCAAGGTAAGATAAATCTTTTAGCTGTAATAACAAAACCCAGGTTTAGAATACTTCTCTCCCGAAGCTTCTCGCCATTTCTAAATCTGTAAGCTTAGTTTGGTTCGACTGGCAGTCATCCAGATCTCAATAACATTTGAGAAATAACTAAAGCTTCATATATTTTTATGCGACAAAGATTCCAGGTAATAAAGAAAAGATATTAACGACAGTGGCAGGATGAAGGGAGTAACAGATGTATCCTCACGGTAAATGTTCGCGACCACACCCTTGTGCTATAAGACGACTGCTATTGCATAATTTGAGTGCTCACAATTTCCTAAAAGTCTTAAAGCTACGTGACTAATGTATTATACGCAAAACCTACGTCGATCTGCGCAAAACATATCAAATTTCTTCAAAGCAAGACGAGTCTGCGGTATCCATTCCAGAGAAATTAAGATTATGGTTTCAAAAATATTTTGTTCCTAGAACTAAAAAATGATGTTGAGCCATAAGGGTCTTAAAATGTCAATGGGCATTGAAATCGAAACCGCATCCAAACCGATGGTTAGTACTCTAATTTAACAAAGAGGACCGAAATAAAGATGTTGACGCACGAATGTACTAAACTATTAGTGTTAAGATACAGCATACAGTAAAAACAATAGCGCTTTTTCAAAATCTTCTGTTGTGGGCATTCAATTTGGCCATGGTCCCCCCCCCCCCTACTTTCCAACCTCTGCCAGAGCCCATGAGAAGGTCAGCTATAAAGCAGATATAAGGAGTACAATTAAATGAGGGAAGAATACAAATAAATACATTTTACAAGATTTAGAAAAGTTTAAGGATTAGTATATTCCAATTACCAAAGCAATGTTGGAATAGAGGGCGACTACCGTCAACAACTCAGCGAAGATTCCAACTTTTCGAGCTTTTGTCTGTGCTTATGATTTTCAATCAGGTTTTGGCACTTGCACCTCAAATACGTAGCTTGTAGACTTTACAAAAATGATGGTTTCAAAGGATATTATGGCAAAATCTCATTTATTAGCAGGGACATCGGAGGTGGGGGAGGGCTGGGTGGTCTAGGGGGTTGGGTGGAGCCCCATCTCAATATACATGTCAAACTGTACTATTTCCTTTTTAATAGAGTACTGAATGGGAAGCAATAGAGAAGTCAGCCACCCCCCCCCCCCGCAATACGAATTTCGTTCCAATGACACTTTTTACGTGAATTGGAGTTCATTCATACCCAGATTGATTCTGTGATTCTATAATAATTCTACCAATGTAGACCTGCAGAAACCACCAAAGAAATGTTGTCTTAAAACATTTCAACGGATCCTTGTCCTTATTACTGTAATCAATACATTTTTGCAAAATAAAAACTGTCCAATTTTGGAATTTCTTGATATTCACGAAAAGATAGGGAGTGGAGGTTGGAAATGCCTCAAAAAAAATTCTATTAATCCGATGAAAATCAAGAAACATGGCAAAACTGTGCTATCTGCGCTTACTTTATTTCCTGCACCTTGACTTGGTAAAAGTATGCACACAGGAGTCTTAGAAGAAGCTATAAGAGCCTCTCAAAAAGAGTCTTTTCCCACATTCTTTGTCGCTATTACCGCCATGTTTTCTGGGCTCTGAGAAGATATTCGTCAGCAAATTTTCTATAATTTTCAATCTTAGGAGCACTCTTCGCTGCTGTCGCGACGGTCGAGACAATCTGCACACTGCTTGGAGCTGCGGTTTTCAATTCATTATACTCATTAACAGTGCAGCACTTTGACTTCAAAGGCTTGTGCTTCCTTATTATGGCGATGATCATGGTGGTACCATCAGTGGTTGTTGGGTATGTATGGATTTTTAAAGTTTTCAGATATATGAAAGTGATTTTTAATCATTTCACTTTGACAGCTTTTTCGTGTAACTGTTTGTGTAACTTTTAATTTTCATGCATAAAAGTCATCACAAGAAATGGAATTAAGATCAAATAATAACGATAACGAAAAATGTACTAGAAAAGCACCTAAGAGCCCTCCGCCTCTTTCTACCCTCTGCCGTCTGCAGCCTCCATTAGCAATTGCTATTAAATTGATTCGCCAATTTGTTTACCCTTTTTTGCAGGCTGATAAGCTGGGGAGAGCGACATAATCCTTCAAGAAACGCAAATGCTGACAAGTTACAAGACACGTGACCTTCATAAACAACTTTTCTCATTGATACTTGCGATACGAACAGTATACGAACAGCATTCTTAGCAAAAACATAAGCAAGTAAAGAAGGAATTTTGTCCGTCAATAACTTTGTGTTTTTGGCCATCTGGAAGAATTATGTTCGGATATTTCCCAAAAGATCTGCCACACAAATGGTAGTATAGTATTGGCAGAAGATGTTTATTAGTCCGCGAAAATACATAAAAATTCCAATAAATACTTAATCCTTGCATGATTCCATCGACTTTAACGTGTTTTCATATACTCTGTGCAAATTTTTGGAAAAGTAACCAAACTTATAGTTCTTCAATGTTCTGAAAAATTGACACCTAATCCACAAGGTGTAGATATGAGTTTAAATTGCGCGAAGAAGCTTGCTTTCTCGCAATAACTGTAACTATAAAAATGTAAAAATTATTCATATTTTTGTGTGTATGTTCATATTTGGAGAAGAAGAAAATTTACTTTTTTGACGGTACATTTGAAAATGTATAAACCAATTTCTGAACTGAACCGATTACTTCCATTTTTATGAATATCGATTGTAAAGCTGCTTAGATGGTTCGACGACGAGACTCTTATTCGAAGCATGTAGCCATTGAAGTCTTTGGCAGAAGTTGGGCTTTCTAGTGAGTGCTACCCGAATGCATAACTTTTAGGGCCTGTTCATACAGGGACATTTTATCTCGCCTTTCGGGATGAGGAGAAAGGCCGAGATCTAGCCTATCCCTCATTCACGCATAATTTGTTTTCTGTTCATATGGAAAAATTGTCTTGCCTACCTCGCTCTGCAGCGTTAATTCGCCTGAATCTAGTGAGGTTTCAGTAAGTGGGATTGGAATTTCTCCATTTGAACACACTTTCCAGCCTACCTGCACAAACATGTCTCTACTGTCCATGCGCAAGCTTGGTTTCCATTGCGATCTAATATGATATCAAGTAAACTTAACTGTTTTTATTCTCATATCTGTTTGCAGCTTGCATTTTCCTCTCAGCAAATGAGAAAAAAAATGCTTCATATTAAAACAAGGTGAAAACCATCTTGCTTACTGCATTATCCTCACAGGCGAGATGAATTTTTCCCATACGAATAGGCCCTCCGTTGTTGTTCTAGATCTGCAAGACAGATGAGTTATTTTCTCGGGGGTAGAGTTCTGTTCCTTAAGATGGAAGGAGCAAGCAGTTTCATTTTATCTCCAAAACTTTGGCTTCTGCCTCACACGTAGCCAGAAACAAAACTTGCACGTAAATTCATAAATAACGGAACGCTTTCAAACAGAGTGAGACAACCTTCATTTGTCGAAAAGTTTGAATATTCACTGAAAAAGCACCCACATATGGCTAAAAATCCTCGTATTGATGTAAAACCTTGTTCAAAAATCAGCCTCAGCTTGCTCTTAATTGTTCTTAACTTTTGACCAATTTTGAGGCTGGTGTTCTGTTAAATTTTCTCTTATAAAAAAGAATGTATCAGGCAAAAAGGAAACAGTTAGCACATTAACAAGAACCAAACACGTATTGCTTTTTTATAAATTGCCCAAGAGTAAAAAAACGTAGAAGGTTTCCCAGCGAAGATAGAATTTCGTTAATTAGTTTTGAAGAACCGATATTGCACAGAAATGAGAATAAGATTGTTAATTTTCTACTGACCAGACAAAGAATTGTCAGCCTTGGCTTAAATTAGATAAACCACAGAAAACACTTCAGAAAATAAGAGAACCCAAAAAGGCAAAACAACCATGTTGTATAATGCTTCCAAAAAGGAAACGACTCGTTTTTAACAGGGCTTCACAGTGCGTCACAACAACAAAAATAAACTGCTAGACATTCAGATAGTACTTTCATCATCTATCAGCGCAGACCAAAAGGGAAATCGCATTCTCCACAAAGATGATTCTAGACGGAAGCATTTTGCTGCAGTTTTTTGAAAAAGGAATAATACTTCCTTGGAAATAGGAACTAAAATGCCTTCCTTGGTGATGAAAATTCACCCATTGCAATGATTTGGGACATTCAGGCTTTAGGCTCTACAGCTAATATTGTTTAGAGGACAGGGGTACAATGCTTGCATGAAACAATTGGATATATTAGATTTTTAAATAAAGTCGTGGCTATCAGGTTGACTTGTAGGGGTTGCAGAATTTTACAAAAGGGAACAGCTTAACAGGAAAAATGTTTGCATAACAAGGGATTTTATCTTCATCCAAGATTAGGTTAAAAATAATACCTGCAGAGTAATCATTGATCTGAAAACAAGATTCAAAAGACGTAAATTGACCCAGTTTTTTGCGAAAGCCCAACTGAATATGTTTTTAAACTTTATCCAATTTTCCAGTGAACGACATGAAACTTTAAGTGCTAGGGAAATTTTATAAGCTTTTAGCCAAGGAAAAATAAATTTTGCGTTATTTACAACGGATATGTCATCATGGGGTCGGCATGCTTACCAAAGATCCGACCCTTGCATTGAAATGTTCCATGGTTTACAGGAATCGCATATAGAGGAGAGGTAATAGATGGAGAAGCGCAAAACGAACTGTTGTCTAGCGATCCTTTGCTGATTTGCATAAGCCAGATTACAGTGTCCACAACCCAATCTCTCGATTCTTCATTTTACTCTATTTGTGAGTTTAAAACACATAAAGCAAAAGTTCAAATTCACGCGCTTCGTGATGCATTGGGACACAGATAAACTACCCCTCAATATTTGTAAACAAACTTTAATGCGACAAAAAATTTTCCTACGCATTATAAAAATTAATAGCAAAAGGATATAAGACATTACGTATGTTGTAGCAACAAGTTTCGGGGTTGGCAAGGACAAATTCAACATATATTGTACAATGACAAAAACAGCTTACTCCAATACACCAACAAAATTTAAGAGGTTATTGTTCGTATTTTCTGTGGCACTTAGGGATGCATTGGGAGTATATCTATTTGTGTATGAAGGGGATCGTCTCATTAACACAACTACTTCTTCAGTAGGGGCTATGTGAATTATAAAAGCTTAAAAACAGCGGACATCTTGGGGATCAAAATGCTCGATGATGGACACTTCCTGACAACGGACGAACAATTGTGTCTCAAATAATATTTCTTGCGGTCAAAGCCTGATCTCCATGCAACGAAAAACAGCTATGGTTCTAAAGCTGTTCCCGTTATTTGCAGGTTTTACTGCAATTAAGCAGGGCTCTCACAAGTAAGTTGCAAAACCAATGGTGAAAGTAGAAATTGGCAATTTTTTGGCATTAATAAGGGGACTAAGCCCATTGAGCCCTCTGTGTCCCATTGAGCCCCCTGACCCCCTGAGCCCCACTGAGCGCCATTAAGCGCCATTGAGCCCCATTGAGCCCCAATGAGCCCCCTGAGCTCTCTGACACTACACTTATGCATTTAAGAACCAAGTGAATCTAAGTAAAATAAGCATGAAAAATAAAATGTACCACCACCAGGGGCGGATCCAGCGTCTGCGTTTGGGGAGGGCCATTTATGAAAGAAGAGGAGGCCTGCGAAAATTTCACAGACACGCCCTTCAAAGTCTCACCGAACGCGGGAAACGCCCCTTTCTATCAAAAAATTTCATAAGAAGGTACACTCTCAGAACACTGAAAATTAAGAAACTTCATTGCTGCGAGAAACTTCCAAGCGAAGTAAAGGCTAAAATACATGATGAAAAATTGATGAACTTTGGCTAATCGTGTAAACACGCGCTTCTTTAGTTAAACGGATGAAAAACGGATATAGAAATAACTTTGGGGAAAACTGACATAAAAAACTGATCGTGTATTTCAGCCTTTACAAATATTCATATTGAATATTTGGTCAGCAGCTTTCGCGCTTGACTTGGGAGGGGAACTATGACGCATCAGAGTTCGTGAATGACATTATAATTCCTGTGTTCAAGAAGCCGGCATAAGACACGTACCCTTAAGATGAAAAAAAGATTTAGAAAATGAGCAAAAGTCCCCACGTATTTGGTGCGTATAATTTGAATGGTAAATTTTCAAAATGGGTAGTCACCAAAAATTCATCGCAGCATAACAGGCAAAGCTGAGTAGTTATAGGTACTGTTTTGCTTTTGTTGGAAATAGTGACGCTTTTTGGGTATCACAATCGCAATAACACGATGAACAATGTTTGAACTGTAACCCATTTTAGCCATAACTTTCTCAACCATTAACGTTTGCAGACGTCATTCATTCATGATCGCAGTCATGATTTGTGTTAAACCATAGTCCATATGAGCCGCGAGATCCGGTCACATCTAATTTTGCATTGAACTATTGTTTTAGGCTTATCATAATTCTTGTGTTACACATCCACTTGCAACTTATTGCCTCACTGAAAGCGAGAGAATAAAGCCGACTGGAGGTTTGATTAAAATGTCTGGTCCGCCAAAGAAATCAAGAACTCTTGAATCATTCTTCTCAAAAAGTAGCCGCACCAGTTCAGTTGGAGATAACCCTGAAATCTCTAAAACATGTGAAACTACCACTTGCCAAGAATTTGAATCAAAATCTACTGGTGAAGAATTCGACACACAAAGCCAAGTTGCGGTAGTCCAGGATTGTCCTGAAGAGGAAACACACCCAGACCTCTGTTGTATGGCGACACAAGTAAATGTTGCAATATCTGATAGATATGACATTGGTAGAGCTATAATGAAAACAAAATGAGGAGAACAGCTGACAGATAACGAAAGGGAAGCATATTTATCGAAGAGGTGGGTGCCGCAGAGAAGGGATGAATATCCATTTTCTGAAAAGAAAAAACCAAAGAATCAGCTCATGGTTGGTATGTCCTCGACAACGAAGCGTTTTCTGGGTGAAAATCACTTGAAAACCTTCCCCTGGCTAGCTGTCAGCAGAGAGCCAAAATGTTGCGGTGCTTGGTGTGTGTATTGCGTTTTATTCAAGACGTGCGAGAGTGGAGGTGGAAGAGGTGCACAATACGGAGGTGGAGCAGGCCAGTCAATGGGCAAACTTGTTAACAAGCCTCTTGTAAACTTTTCAGACTTGACAGGGAAAAATGGAGCCCTCACAAGTCACCAAGAAACATCTTTTCATAAGACATGTGCCATAAAGTACACGGAGTTCTTGAGCCGTGCAACACCTGGGAGTGAGAAGGACGTTCGATCAATAATGAACATTGAAAGGCAGAAAGAGATTGAAAGAAACAGGACTGCGCTGGTTCCCATCATCGACACCCTTCTAACATGCGCCAGGCAAAATATTGCGCTTAGAGGCCATCGTGATGATGGACCAGTAGATTCAACTGGGATGGAACCCAAGCACAATGATGGAAACTTCAGGGCATTGCTGCGATTGAGAGTACGGGGAGGAGATACAAACTTGAAAGATCACTTGAAATCTTGCAAACGCAATGCTTCTTTGGTAAGCAAAACGATACAAAACCGATACAAAGCTAATTGCCTGTGCAGGAAATATTGTCAAAGAGGACATAGTAAGAGATGTAAAAAATGCAAAATTCTGGACAATAATGGCCGACGAAACCCAAGATTGTGCGAAACGAGAACAGTTGGTCATTGCAATTCGTTACGTTGACACAAAAAATGTGCCAAAAATTATCAAAGAAGAACCGGTCGCAATTTTAGACCTGATTGCAGACATAAAAAGCAGTGACCAATCAGATGAAACAGAGCACAATGAAATTAAGCTATGTGGCAAGGCAATAGGGGAGACTCTACTCCGCCATATAAGTGAGCTTGGGTTGGATTTGCAGTACCTCGTTGGTCAAGGATATGATGGTGCTGCATCGATGTCCAGTGAGCGAGTTGGTGTTTGCTCCTTTATCAAATCTGCTGCGCCACTCGCTGACTACTTCCACTGCTGCATGCACGCGCTAAATCTAAGTTGTTCTCGAGCCGCAAAGATACCAGCAATCAGACATTGCATGGATGACATCAAAGATATCAACAATTTCTTCAAGCATGCGAAAAGAAACAGCTATTTGCAAGCAGTCATAGCACGAGAATCAATTGAAGAGCTTCAGCGACGGCAGTTGGTGACCCTCTGTGAAACAAGATTTGTCGAAAGACATGAATCAGTTTTGGTTGCACGACAGCTTTTGCCTTACATCGTTGTGTGCTTGGAATAAATGCTCGCTTGGGACTCATTAGATACAAGAAAAGATGCCAGGAGATTGTTAAAAAGTTTGCAAGACCCTCAGTTCCTTGTAGCGCTAGTATTGGCCGAGAAAGTGTCTGCTGTACTTCGCCCAGTGTCCCGTTCTTTGCAACAAATTGGTAGCGATCTTGTGAAAGCAATGTCGACGATTTCTGCGACACAGTCAAAGCTTTACACGTGGCGTAAAGGTGAAGAAAATGAGTTTGCTTCGATGTTTGAAGAGGCAATGCTTCTTGGCGAAAATATTGGAGTGACCAGAGAAGAGATGGACGCAATTCCTCGAGCAGTCAGTCAATCCAGGTTCAGATCAAATGCAGGTGAAGCCAATCAAAAAGCCATTGATTATTATCGTATCAATGTGTTTTTACCTCTTCTTGATGAAGTGGCTGGAGATATGAAAGCAAGATTTGGTCCCCATCAGCAGAAGATTGCGACGCTTACAAGAATTCTGCCTTGTTTCGTCAAAGAATCAACTTGGCAAGATATTTTGCCTGCAGCACTAAAATACGGAGTCTTTTTAGACCCCTTGTCCATTGTTGAAGGAGAGTATGAAATTTGGAAGCAGCAATGGCTGTCACGTGGAACAAGTACAGTAGCAAATACCGCTATCGGCGCTTTAGGCGACTGCCAAGGTGATGTATTTCCTAATTTGCATACATTACTCAACATTCTCACTGTGCTACCGGTGACAACAGCAGAACCCGAACGACTATTTTCTAAACTGAATAGTACCCTTACAGCAATTCGGTCAACAATGTCTGAGGAGAGATTAGAATCCCTACTTCTTCTGCAAGTTCACCGTGACAGAACACCAACGAGCGATAAACTCATTGACTCATTCGCAGCATTAAAATCAAGACGAATCCCATTAAAGCTGTAAGTAGTTAAAAGATGGACAAAATGACGTTGCTATTATATCGCAATACTCAACATTGAAACACACCACTTCTCGCGCAAAATGAGCTCGCATGTAGCTTTTCGTTTCAAAGGCAAAATCTCCGATAACGTTTTTGCTACGATATAGCTACTTCCTTTTCAAATTCTTTTCTGAATATATTGACATCAGTTGGGATCACTGATTTCCACAAAATTACTCAATCAAAGCTCTCATGTTTCTATGCTCGCAGTTAGTGTTCTCATGTAATGTAATAAGTAATTTTGGTTTGTTAGTTATATAAACAACTAGTTTCTTGTTATGCAAAAACTTTTACCTTATCAATTTACATGTTTAGTTAATGTATTTACTGTCTTTTCATTCAAAGTTTCTCGTTGTCGAATCGTTTGGGGGGGGCCATGGCCCCCCCGGCCCCCCCTGTAGATCCGCCAATGACCACCACATTATAAATAACTGAAACTGTTGAAATGATGAACAGGTTGAGAAATTCATGTCATGACTAGAATTTAAGAATTTATGAATTAGCGGAAGGTGCATCATATTGGCGGATTTAGAATCAAAGGATTCAAAAGGGTTCACGGTTGCTTAGGGTCGGTCACTAAATTGTTTGACTGGTCAACCATAATGTCAGGGGTTGACGGCATGAATACCATTCGGCCACGGAACAAAGCTTTGCAATTTCGAAAACTCCTTGGCAACAGGTATACATAGAATACACAACGGTTGTATGATATGCGGTATAGATAATACACAGATCCCTATTTTTATGAAATGAGCTTTGCCAAATCATAAAAATATTGAGAGCCAAACATCCAAGTAGCCGCCACGATTCAAGTCTAGGCTTCCAAAAGCATGTTACTTCCTCATACTGCAGTGACAAAACTTTGACCGTTTAGTTAGGCGATGTACATTGTCCAACATTATCGGGAAAGAAAAATGAGTAGAAAATGGTATAATAAACATTATTCGGGATTTTTTCCCTCACGTCTCTTGCTTGTTTCTCTTTTCAAACTCAAAACCTTTAAATCTAATTTTTGCTAAATTTATCTGATGTGAACTTTAATCATATATTTTCCTTTTGCTGTATCAAATGATGGCATCAGCTGCCATGTGTTGGCCATTAACAACCTGTCCACGCATTTTTATTTTTGTAAATTTTGGTAAAATTGAGCCAGGCTTTGACTTTTACTCTCGACAAAAATCTAGAGTAGTCGAGTGAAAAGTCGAGAGCGTGTGAACAAGGCTTAAGCATGCCGGTTGCGCAAGAGCCTTTAAGACACGACACGGGGTCCCTAATGCACATCAATTGCCTTGAAAGAATCGATAATCGTCCGTGCTTTATTGAGTTCCTCGAAAAACGTTTGTGAGTAGTTTGAAGCACACTTCTGAATGATTCGGTACGGCTTCTGAAGAAAAGCCAGCTGAGAATCTGAGAGACTGTCCAATACCAAATTGATTACTACCACACAGAAATTACGTATATTGCTAAACATGGTCGGTCCAATGCAAAGTTTGGTAGTCACATTACAATAAGAATGGCAGTCGTCAAAGTCCCCATTCTACAGTCTTCATTTTCGACACAAGGCTTGCGCGACAACATCTCCGTGACGTCATCAACAAAGAAAATATGATCGCCATCTATGACTTTCACTTGACTACTTTTTGTTAGCCCGAAATTGTCGAGATGGATATCACACATGAGTATTTTACCCTTTGTTGATATCAAAAAGGTTTCCAGCATCATGAACAAGTTTTTCATAAACTCAATTTTTTCTTTAAAAGAAGGTACTCTGATCTGATGGAAAAATCTAAACAGGAATTTGGAAGTATAGGGGTATGAACTATAAAGTGACGATGAAATATGACTAAATATGTCAAATTTCGAAAAAAAATTCCCCAGTAATTCTGCTACATTATCCAGTGCATCTGGCAGAAAGATCAAGTCAGCCAGTCGTTCAGAACTGCCAAATAATTTCCCGGCAGGGTATTCCACAGACTCAACTGCAAATATTCCCCCACAGTGACCATAATACAAAACAGACCAGTCCGAGTTATTGAACGTAGAGAAGATGTTCCACTCACCATTGCCAGTTTTCTCGGTTTCTGGAATATTTTGATATTTGACAACCAGTGGCATACCATCAAAATCGATTTCATAGACAATCTTATCGCAGGTGCTGGAAAGACACTTCTGGTACACTTTTGACACATCTTTCGAGCAGAGTCTCTTGCAAAAAGAACCATTCATCCTTCCTTCTTCGTACTCTTTGCACTAGATAAATCAAACTAGCTGCATGAAAACAGTAAAAAATGAAAGAGTTGCAACAAAGCAGAAAGAGAATAAACAACTCATGCTACAAAATTTCAAACCTGAATGAATGAGGGGAAAACTGAAGTGCTAGTTTTTTCTGACACATCACAAAGTATGAAAAGTCATATCGTGACCAACCGGGAGTAGACACAGTAAGATGTGTTTAAGTTTGAGTGGAAAAATGGTGCTTTAAATTTATCCTTGCTATAAACAACTGGCTATAAGCGCCACAGGTGTTTAAAATTCCAAAGAAAGGTTTCCAAAGCAATTTTTCAATACAGGCAGATTACAAAACGCCTAAATGAAGAGTAGACCCTGCTTTCCTGATGATTCTCACCACTATATGGGATGTTGGACTGTCTTTAAAGCAATGGCTGTCTGATGGTCGAATGGTATTTCAACTTGGCTCTCTGCATGCCGACTATGTATTGCGAAGTGCCTGCTCTGTTTTGACACAGTTTTTGCTCTAATTTTGTCACTGCAACCTGTTTGTTATATCTATTAGCTCCACAAAAAGAAGACAGTTTGTTTAATGTTTCTAAATAACACCGTTGGCAGGGTTTAAATTCGTTTGGCAATTTTCAGCTTTAAGATTTTGACAAATATTGGCCATCAAGTGATCACCAGGACCAAAAATATTTTTTCAATGGAGAAATTAGCAACACTATCTCAAAAACAGGCTAAGATAGGTTTAGAGGTATCCATTTTACAGCTAACTTTGAGCTTGCACAAGAGTAAAAGAATTGCCTTTCAAATAGAAATTGCTAGGGCTTGAAAGAAAATAACAAAAATTTTTTTGAATCAAAGAGATCTGGGGTCTGAACAACAGCGTCATCAATATAATGAAAATAGACTCCCACTGGAAATACATCTAAAACATTTTCAAGCTTAAACGTTTAAGCAAAATTCCATTCCTTGAGTAGCAGCTGGAGTAACTTATTTATTTGTCATCAAACATAATTAAGTTTGCTGCTGTAATATGCATTATCACTAATCCATATATTCTGATAGGCACATTGGTTCACAGAGTTAATATGCCAGATGATTCCCTTTCTCCCTATCGTATCTTTTAGAGGAAATGCAAAATTAATTATTGTTGTGTAGTTTCAGACAGGGAGTAGCCCTAGAAGTGTTTATATGTTTGCACATCAAGGTCATCATTATATTGTCGTCACTAATTTTGTAAATGCTGGATCTGGGTTGGTTGGCAAATAGTGCCCCTCCATTCTCAAAAGAAGCAAGACAGCTTCCTTGGCAATTTATTTCAAAGATGACCACTGACGCGTTCATATCAAGAGACACTTTCAAAATCCCATTATGATGTGCAACAAACATATACAGTTATACTAGAAACCCATCCCCAGTCTTTACATTCATCTATCATAGTGGCTGTATGCTTTGCCAACTCCATCGTAGAAGATATTTATATCAACTTCATGATAGAAGATTCCTACTGATGCTATTTTTCTTTCCTTGGCGGCAGTATGCATAGCCTCGATTTCCTCGGTTAGCCCAGTATCCTCAAAGCTTATTTCATCTTGTTTATTTCCTCCGTCAATATACGATTCAATGTTTGATTTAAGCTGCTCCGTAACTTTTCTTGTTGTGACTGTGTTTCCATTACACGGGGAAGGCTCAATTTTTCACGTACCTCAGCAATGCTTTGCTTTGTGGTTTATTTAGCAGGATTTAATTGAAAACAATTACCTTCCAGTTTATGGATTAATATTGGTCCTATCTTTGAATTGAGAAAGGTAACGCTATCACGACACTGTAAATTTTCTAACATTGAGTTGTCTTTTAAGGCGACTTTCTTGTCTACAGGAGTATGGAGTCTAGCACGATATAAATGTTGTACAGTGAGAATCGAAAGAGAGAAAAAGAATCCATTCATATTTGGATACTGCAACGGAAACTGGCAAAGGATATTTCATTGGGGAACTTGTAAATTTCCGGTATAATTGTATGACACACCTATCAAACAGTTCACCAGGCGTTCATTTTCAGCGTGGAAATTTTTCGTTGACACACGCCACCACTGTTGTTGCTATTGTTTTTTTGTTATTGTTATCTCAATTGCCCCATGGCGTAATACGAAGGATAGTTGTTGCTACCAGAAAAGCCAAGATCTAGATGTGACCAGGCCCCTTTCTTTAAAAAAACGACCGGTTCGGAATTCCGCAAAAAATCAGCATTCAAAGTAGTATTTTCGAGAATACTAGCGTCTGGCAGGAATGGAGGATTCCGTCGCTCCATTTTTTCTTCAAATGTTGTTGTCCCAAAAACCCTGGATACCTCCACCACAAGCCTTCAAAGTATTTTCCTAAAAATAGTTGATGACTACTGTTGTGTTTTAAGACTAAGCTTTCAGGATTTAGTTAGAGCATAGACAAAATAAAACAGCATCTCCATCCCAAGATTTTTAATTCTGGAACTGAGAAATAATTTCCACCTTTTAGTTGTTTTTGACAATATACAATGCTTTCAATTCTAGTGATGGTAGGATACAAAGTGCATAAGTAGGCTGCAAAACCTAACCTTTTTCTGGAAACTCCCCCTAGGGATTCGGAACTAAACAATGGTAGATTATCATTGTTTGGCCCCTTCACCCCGTATAGAAAAAAGGTGTTCCTTTTAGTATTTCTACTTTTCAACAACAAATCAACTTTTGAAAAAGAACAATTTTATAACAATTTTCTTCAAAATAATTAGAAAACCACTAGCATTTAAAAAGCCTGAAAAAATAGTGATTATTTTGGAACTCTTGGTCTTTGGATACTGTGGGTAGCATGATCTAGAACTTTGTTTTGAACCCAGCTTCTAAATCTGATATTACAAGTCTGCATATCTTAGGTGCGTGTTATTCTTAATCAAAATATGTTCCTAGCATTGCAGTTATTAAGTTAAGAAATACATACCACAGATCTGATGTGGCCTGTGTTGCATCTGCTATACTTATCAAAGATCTTTGAGAATACGGTCATGCCAACCATGAGAGCAAAAGTTGATGCTAGAATCTTGCCCATCATATATCTTGAGATAATAACATCTCTGACAGCCTGAAAGAAGTTACAAACATTATTTTAGGAAATCTTGCAAACTGGATGCATACATAGAATAAATTTGTAGATTCAAGTGGAAGAAAAAAGAAACTTTGGAATTGCATTCCAAAAATGTATGAAAATCATTTTTGTCCACTAAGTTCAATTTAATTGGGTGGAGGGAGCACATAATGATCTTTTTGTCTAGAAACCTTGAGGGTCTTGAACATGCGCAGGCTTGAAGAGCTTTTGGATCTATTGAAAGGTTAATCTGAGCCCGATGTGCATCAGGGTCCTGTGTCCCCAACTTTGGGATAATGACCTTTTATAAGAAGTAAAGTTTGCAAAATGTTGTTATTTCTGCAGCATGGTGCCTCTTTTTACCTGTCACCCTCCAATGCTTCAAATTCCCATGTTTATGGGTTTGGTGTGGCAACTGGGGTTGAGCGAAAGACAGATGGAGAGAAATTTAGGTGCTATTTTGCCTCAAGTAGATAATTTCAAAGACAAACCAGATGATATTATGGACCAACTGAAGGTTTACCAACAAAACGGTGAAATATTGGGGGCATGTCACACCTACACATCCACGCTGGATACAAGCTTACCCCTGGACACATCTCAAAAATAAAATCTGTGAGACAGGAAAGCTCATCAGATGCTCATGGACAGTTTAGTATCCTATGCAGAAGTTTCTTTAGAAAATTAAAAAAAAACATCTCCCCTTGTTTTCATATTTAGAGGACATGGTCACAAGAAATTTGCAAGGGTCTTGGTCCTGAGATTCTTGTCTTATTTTCACCCATAAATAAATAACTCTCAAGTCAGAATAGCAAAGCATTCCCTGAACATTGTTCCTCAGCAATATCTTGACCACCTTGAAAAAGTTGAGTTCTTTCACTTTAAGGTCACCACACAAGATAACCTGGAATTCAAGGAGATGATTGTGCCAACCAGTGACGGATATTCAGGTTTTCCTTTGGGGACAGGGGTAGATTGGGGGGATGGGTGTGAAGGGCATGAGACCCCCAATATTTTATCCTTCAGTAAATTTTGCTTCGATTTGATGAAAAGCACTTTTTGTAGTCAGTAGTAAAAAATGATGGAAAAATTACTTGATTTATTTTCTTATCTTCTTTATCTTGAAGCTAAAAACCTCATTTTTAAAATGGACTTTTCCATCAATTTACAGTCACCCGAAGGGTGTGGCAACAAAATTGAATCATTATCTGGCACCCTTTAATCCTAGCCGCTATAATCCATCCCTGAGGGTGGGTGAGGTTCAGTCACATTATTGTCTGGCAAGGTAACATCTTGGATGGCCTTTTGGCACATTTCATGTTTGTCACTTATCACATTGAAGTCCAGATTTTCCAAAGAGAACAGTGAATTTTCAAGGCCACGAGGCCCCCAAAAAATTCGGCCACCAAAAGATTCGGCCACCAAAAGATTCGGCCACTGTAGCCAACCATCCCAAACTTTCCAGCTATGGCCATTAATTTGTATGTTTTGATTGGGTTCGGCAGTTTCCAAATGCCTCCTCCCCCTTGCTACGCTAACACCCCATGCAGCACAAGCATTTTATCATTGCTATTTGTGGTAAACGAAGAAGAATCAACATCTATGCTGCTAATCAAGGTTTTATGACACACCGCTGTGTTCTGAAAATTTTTAGAATTTTTAACCATGTTCTTAGAATTATATGATAGACGATGATGAAATTTCGGCAATTTTATTTACAGAATTTTGTATTCTGAGAAATCATTCACTTAATTTCTACGGCTTATGTAAAATCAGCAAAATAAAACATAATAAATATATTCTAAGAATAACAAATATTTTCTTGTTAAACAGTGGGTAAAAACTTTTTTACTAGGTACTTCTAGGTCACGTGCTGACTGCTGATGATGAAAGTTAAGATTTTCACAGAAATTGAAAGTAAGAGAAACATAGCAAACAAACCTTTATCTGTGAAATGATGTCTGATATATCTGCGTTCATTTTCAAAACTGCTTTCTCATGGAAACCAGCCAAGGCCTAACAGCAACATTCCCTTCCATTTCGCGGTAGTTTTAGTTTCCCTCTACAAAGTCGGAAGGTCAGAGGTCCAGCAACAAGCCTCGTTTTGAGTTAGGTACTATTTCATTTCATTTGATTTGAGTTCATTGCCCCTCAGCAGATGTTTCGGAAGGGGCGCTTCACAAAACCCACAATTTATTAAAGAACAATAACCAGCCTAAATTAATTACAAAATAATGTATACATCATCAAAGAATTACATTTAAAAACCTAATTACAAATGAGGTCTAAAATTTACAAAACTTGAAGCTAAATATATACCTCTTTTAAATAGAAGCTTTGACGGCATTTAGAGTGGTTGCCTGTTTTGACCAAACTGAGAGGCTATTCCAAAGTTTTGCTGCTTTGAATGAGAAGCAATTTTGGCAATTTGCTGACTTTATAACGGGAAACCTCAAATCTGTCTCTGTATTGCGGAGACTTCTGAGAGCATCAGTGTGAGCTTTTGATGCACTTGTTACGCAAGTACTGTGCAACAAGATTATATTGAGACTTGTCGATCATGGCTTTAGATTTACTAATTCATTTATAAGTGGTCTGTTTTGGCAATCAAAGTTGCTGTCAGTTATAATCCTAGCAGCTCAGTCTTGAAGTTTTTGTAACTGATTAATTTCAGTAAACCACAACAGCCCCAGAGTGAGCAGCCATACTGAAAGTGTGGCTCAACAATGCCTGTGTAGGGAGAGTGTTCGCAAAACACCATAGCGGCAAAAATGATTTGGCATATTTCAAGAGGCCAAGAGCTCTTGAAAATTAACTGGAGCGAAGCCTAATTTCATATGCTCTTTCCAATCTTAGCATCTGTTAATTTACACACCTAGGCATACAGTCATTTGAACCGATTCTTGTTCATCATCATGAATATTTACAGTAATTATAATAAATTATAAATATACTATAATTACAAAAAGGTTAAGAGGTTAAGATCATTGGTTACGATCGACGGTTCCGATTGATTTTTACATTCGTCATGGAGATAACTTTATCGCTACTTTTTTCAAAGCCAACGTAAAAAGCATTCTAAAAACAAAGGATGGTAACTGAACTAATTCTGTTTTAATTCTCAAAACCTATTCTAAGAGACTTCATCTGGGGGACAAGCCGTTGATCTCATGAAAATAAGGAGCATCTTCTCTCATACAAAGAAAGGTCAACTATGCTGGAGGGGTGTTTACCCCTTAGTTAAAAAAGGCCCTAAAACCATCTTGGTAATGGCTGCACCACCCAAAAACCACACATTGGTGCAAAATCTCATGTCCTTGGTTTTCCTTTGTTCTTCCTTACCTCTAAATGCTAATAAAGCTTGAAAAAGTGAGTAGACAACTAAGATGTACTGAGCCAATGAGACTGAATGGTAAACGATCGCCCCAAAGGTAGCATTTTGAATCAGTAGATCGAATTTTCTGTGCCAGACATCTCCCTACAAAAATATCCGTTGTATGCAAATTTAACTGTACAATAGGAGTAAGCAGATGACCCTTATTAACAGTGACAGTACAAGGGCAGTTAGTTTAAAAAAGTCTTGTGATATAACTGGTAACTGCTCTATACAAAGAAACAGTGCTCTCATGGAGTTTCAAGACACAATTATCAAGGACTGCAGCGTGTTCGTTCGATCAACGAGTCATTCTCCGCAAAGACACGTCTTGCAATTAAGAATCAGATAATGACGAAGGAAAGATCCCTTGATTTGTTTTTTTCTAGCACTTTATAAGCTCGGCAATATTCCTAAATTTCTATTAGTTGAATACCTGAATCTTAAATTCATTAAAAATGAAAGATCAACACCCATTTTGACAAGAATTTAAGGCGTTGAGGTCCTATTCAAGACACTGTTTTGCTTTTAAAACAACACACCATTAATACACAACAATGGATTAATAAATTTTTGTCAATTTTATCTTTGGGAGCATCAACATTAATCTAACTTCTATAACTTGTAACATGATAAGGGCTTTGCAAATCAGAGTTGTCAACTTGAGCAATGATCTTCTCTTTGTTTCTCTTAAAAAGTTGTTATTTAATATAGACCACCTTCATTGAATCCTTTCGTTAGAAATTGTTCTAGAAATCTATATACTCTACATACGAATCAAACAAAATGTAGCAATTACTATGACGGCAATTGCTGTACTTGCGACAATGAGAGATAGCATCAGACAAGGAAAAACGTATAATATCGCTTTAAGTGCCTAAAGATAGATTTTAAGAGCATGTTTTTAAGTTGGAAAGCTCATTTTTGACCCAAAAATGCAGACTTGAGAGAGCCTCAAATCCGGCTGCTTTTTGACAAAATGAAATATGTGTCAATTGCAAAAAGAACACAAAAGCATGCATGAGTCAAACATCGTTATATCCTTAGAGGAATTCCAATTCTTGGCAACAATAGTCATATTCTTCAGAATGCTTTAGCATTCTAAAGAAGAACTCCAGGTTTCAACTTCCTGTTTCTGGGATCCCTTTGATGCCACTTCTGCTCATAGTCCAATCTTGAATCATTAAGTGCAGACTTCGAGTACAGCGATGAGGCATCCAAAATGGCCCATTTATCTTCTTCCGGGCTCTTATGCGCGGTAAAGACATTGCAGCTACTCTTCATTGCCTCTATCAAACTATCAAATTTCTCCAAAGCTGAATCAACTATTTCCACAGACTGGGAACTCTCTACGCTGTCTTCACTCGAATTCCTTTTGAGAGGAGCACGATAACAAACGTTGTCGTCAGCATTCTTAATTTTTTGCACATCTTGTTGAATGCCGCATATCCAATTTTTCATTTCGTATGAGATTTTTCTATTTGCATTTTTGTTGCCTCTAGGCTTCTCTTGAAAACGTTTATCGGAATTATCTTCGGATTGGCCTCCTCTCCTCAACGACCTTGCCTCATTTCTAGATGAGGATTTAGTTGAAGACGTACCAGAATATTGTTGCCTCAGCTTCTCAGAATTCGCTAGCTTCGGAGTTGCCTCACAAGAAATTTTACTGGAACTGAAATTGTCAATCAATTCCTTTGAGGTTCCATCATCCATTGCATAAAACCCGTCTATCTTTGGTCTGTGACAACATTTGGTTTTCTGTTCCAATGTTTCATTGCCCTGACTAAGAGCCGGCACGGTCTCCTCCGTGGCGAGCATTTTCAACCTCGTTTCGAGCGCATCACCTACTGTTCTATCAATTCGATTCGCAGTACCCACGGCCGTATTTCTTCCCAGTGATCTACGCTGCCATTGGCTAATTGCCCCCGTTGTCTTAGGCCTTCTCTTCAATTTGGCTTTACCAGCTTCGCAGACAGTGGCCTCTCCTGCATTATGCTCACTTCTTTTGAAAGTGATGGCACTGACAGCGCGTCGCTCTTTAAACACTTTCTCGGCAGTTTTGGATTCATTTTTCCATTTTGCATGCCTCTGAGCAACTACTATACTTGATTTCAACTTCTCTTGAAAATTAGTAACCAATTTCCTTTGAGCATTTGATATAAAAAGCACTTGAGCTTTCTTCTGAGCCTCAAGAGCCAAAATATACCGCACCTTTGCTTCTTCAAATGCTCGTGGCCTATCCAAAAGTCTCCCCATTTCGCTTGCCATTGTGATATTGCAGTACCTCTCTGGCAAAAACCTTGAAGATCTAAATAATCAATTTAGTTTATTCGATTTCTTGCGTCATAAACCAGCTTGTTTAAAGAACATGCAAACTGCAGTTTTCAAGACGCACCAAAATCGTGATTCATCACCGTGCTATGCACAGAGCTTCCTTGCCTGGCCTATCTATTAAAAAGAATAACCAGAACACCCATGAAATAGCCAGAGAATTTGACTGTTTGCATCAACAGCAGAGAAAAGGTTGAAACAGTAGTCGATGTTATATGTGTGAAACGATGTAATACGTCTTCAGAAGGAAGGTGAACCAAATGAAGCAAATGAGGGTTTTGCTCCAGGCAAGACTTTCGTTAGAGGAATTGCAAAATCTTTATTTACGATGCCTTCATTATCTTTATAACCAATTCATTATCCAATAGACGTTCAGAGGTCTGCACGTGCTAAAAGCACCATTTGCATGGCCGGACAACAGTCCAGTTAGAATAAGTACCAATCAATCTTCACTTTCTGTTTGACGCAGAAGTGAAGAGGTTTGCTGAAATCAAATCCATGCTTGCAATTTTCAACCGTTCATTTAGTAGAAAGCAGAACAGCCTTTACTCCAAAGAAACATGTCTGTTAACCATACGTTGTCCAAAATACGGCTAAGCTCGAGAAGATGAAATCAAAATATAAGTTATTGCGGGTACTTTTGACACCTAATATCTCAACACGTTGCAGGTCCATACACAAAGGTGTCTTAAGAATGATCATAGTCACTTTGATTGCATATTGTAATCCACGATGACAAACTCTTCATTACAAAGACATTTATCATTATCAATATCCATGCTCATCAAAGAGTTTTATGGACAGTAAATTCAGTTTTGAGGAAACAAGATTAAGCACTTTCTACAGGTGTCGAGTGTACTTTGACTGAGAAAGAAACGTGGATTATTCTGCTTAAATTGCCAAATAATCGTTGGCATCGATACCATTGATTACTCGTCTAGATCTAGCTGGTCGATCGGTGATGATGTACGAAGACCAAGTCTATCATCAGTATAAACAAACAGCTAATAAGTAGAAAGACGTCTGCGCAGATGAAGCAAGCTTTTACTAGGCTTTAATGTCCGCTGTAAAATCCAACACGTCTCGGCTTCTTTGTTTTTTCCAACTTCATTGCAAGCCTTTTTGTGAGTGCTCCCAGCGCAAAGATTTATTAACCGTACAGAACTCGTTGTTGTAAGGACAAGATGCAACCTGTTGACGATTCAAAAGAAAACAAAAACAATTTAGCGACAGATCATTCGCTCTCACCGCACAACAGTCTGAATAATTCTATAACCATAGCAGCTCGCGAAAAAAAACCTATGCAATTAGCCAGTGCTGCGCTTGGCTTAGCAGAAACTCGAAAACTCAAAATTGGCAATCTTTCAACTTATACCAGTGCTCCAGTTTACAGAAGTCTGATTATAATTTTGAAAAAATACACAGCAGAGTTACGTTGCCCCTGAAAATGGTTCTCTAAGCCCATTTTTTTATAAAAATATTCCAGAATAGGAAAATACTACTGAAGATCATGCTTTGAAATTCAGAATCTTATCTAAGGATTCAATGACTGCTAAAAAATAATATGACATAGATCATGAAAGTCATGTTTCAGTTGGAATTTCTGTGAACTGTTTTTGAACGCAGTCTTATTCATCAGGCAAAAATATATTGTAAGGATCATATCACATATTTTGTAAGGAAGATCTTAGTGATAATTACTTTTTAACGGGTTTGGAAACAAATGATAATATTTGCAAGCTCTCAGGTGATTAGACAAAAATGTTTTGCCTGGAGCAATGGCGAAAAAAAGTGGGTTCGTCTGCAGCAATAGACGAAAAAAAACGGGATATTCTTTTAACTCCCAAAACTATAGTAAAATTATGTAATGAATTGTGTTGCACAGGACCTGCTACCGTCTACAGAATCAGCTATAAGCCGTCCTCGATTTCAAGTTACCTTGCCAACCACCCAGTTGCAAAGATATGAAGCAAAATAGTGCACAAAAATCAATTTACACTTTTATTTATCACAAAATCTTACCTGCACACGAAAGATCAGTGCTGGGTCATGCGAAATACAAAGAGAGTGTTGAATTGCTTCTCCGGAGCGAGATCTTACGCACTTAATCTGGGAAAACTGAACAACAAACACGGAGGTAGTACACAACGCACTTTGTCTGTCCAGGTGGTTCGATAACCGTCGCTAAAGTCAAAGCCGTTAATGAAAAATATATTTTATAAAAGTTTTAATGCAGACCTCTGTAGCATTAAAGCAAAAGTTTACTTAAACTGTATTTCTAGAAATACCAATGCAATATTTTCATAAAGCAAAAGCCGGACAGACGATTAGCCATTTTAAAATAGAATTGATAGCTAATCTTTACGAGCTTTTCCGAGGCCATAAATTTAATAATTTAAATGTGGATGGGATTTATTCTGATCTCCAGTTACGAATCAAATGGGACTGTATTTCATATTAAAAGACTCGCGAAGCATGAGAAAGTTACATATCATATTGCACGTGTAAAGTTTATGGCCAGTTTAGTTCAAAGAAAACAGGTGAAAAGGGATACAAAACAGAGCAATCGCAGGTAAACAGCATTACGCTGGATTTTTAGGTGATTAGCAATATTAAGAAGCACAATTTTAAAAATTTATCATTTTACCATCTGCGTCACTCTCTTGCTAAATAACAGGTCATCCACATGAAACTGACATTCACTAGTTTCGGTAAACAAAGAATACGGCCGAAACGGCACTTTTATGACTTTAAGATGTGTGGATGACGTCATTATAAATGTTAGGAATATCAAATTTCAGGGTTATGGACCCGTGTGACTGGAGGAGACTAAGCAGGATTGCGAAAGGGCAAAAGATTTCAATATTAACGGCCAATCTAGGTTTGAAAGGAACTGCAAGAATATCTAGCGATGTACGATTTTCTTTGAGAAACTTTAAAGAAAATAAAAATAAAAACAGATGATGCTGATGATGATAACGACGATGATCTGTTCATTTTCTTTAAGCCAGCTAAACATTTTGAAAGTTAGGCCTAGTTTGTACATTGTACTTTTGGTTTTGTGAGATTATATAAAACCTGAATAAGGAGACCTAAAGGACCTGTACAATTGTGTCTCTTGATGCTTTTCCGCTGCTCTGCTTTTCATCAATCTTCTTCACTAATTTTCTGCATGCAACTTCCAAAAGCAACGGACAAAAGCAGTCGAGGCAAAATATGGAAATTGCAGATTTATATCAAGTGTGCAATGTACACTAGCATTTGAAACGCAATTTACAAAATAGACAGAAAGTTATTGCTCTTCTTGTCTAACTACTCATATACAATAGAACATGAATATATTACATTTCAATATATTTAAAATCATTCAAATATTACACACAATCATATTATATAGTGTTATCTTGGAGATCAAACTTTACAACTATAAGGAACTGAAGGGTACAAAACAGGTTTCTGAATTACTCACTTAAAATCCTAAATGCAACTGCACATATAAACTTTTAAGGCAACAAACACTTAAAAATTCCTATTCCATCGAGTGTGTGTTGTGGACAATCAATTTCGCATTTAGCGGTACAAGGCTCTTTGAATAATAGGTCAGTTCAGTGAAGACTGCTTAGCTAAAATCTTCAACCATGTCATTGGATCGATAAAGAAAAAGGCATAAAAAAATGCTAAAACTTAACAAAAATTGTTAAACGTAGCTTCCTAAAGTGCATGACATGACATGACATGACATGACATGACATGACATGACATGACATGACATGACATGACATGACATGACATGACATGACATGACATGACATGACATGACATGACATGACATGACATGATATGACATGACATGACGTGACATGACAAGGTAAGAGAAGAGTAATGTCACACCAAACTTTCATTAAACAAGATATACAACGAGGGACAAAGCCAATGATAAATATCTTTGCAACTAGAATAAGTGTGAATTGCTACCTGGTAAGCAAATGTCTGGCATATTCACTCTCCTTTTTGATTTGAAAGCAATGAAGACCTTGCGCTGACAAGTATTTTGAAAGCTTCTTCCGTGCCAGGGGCGACGCTTTTATCAGGATGCAAAAGAACAGCGAGCTTCTTGTATGCCTTGTTTACTTCATCGCTGAAAAGGGGATATCAATTTTTATCATAAGGCTCCTTGTGACAACAACAGGAGGAACCAATAACGTCAAGATTATAGAATAACATACAGCCAAAGGAAAAGTACTGGAAAACAGAAGTTAGCTGTTTCAATAGCTTCTTTAAAAACCACGATATGCCAAGGATGGAGACTGAAGAGGTAATTTCAAGTTGTCAAGATTCAATGTTGGAGAGCTGGCAGTACGAGGCATGACAAGTGGGGCAGTATGAGGCATGATCAAGCAGGGGGAGAGCAAGTAGGAAGAGTGAGGAAATAGGGTTTTTAAGACAAACAGAGGTAGAGCAAATGGAGTTTGGCAAGCTGGGGAGGGCAACAGAAGTAGGGGAATGAAAGCAAAACATTGCTAACAAAAACAATTAAATGTTAAAAATTTGGATTTGAATATAAACTGAAGGAAATCAGGCATAAATAATTGCTAGTCTCTTTTCTTTACGCAATAACATGAAATTTTTCAACGTTCTTTCAAGAAAGTTTCTTTAAATCAGTTTCTTGAAAAAGAGCAATTACTTTGAAGCACTCTAGATTATAAAACGTTACCTTCCAACCAAACCTTTATATGTTACAAGAACATCTAAACCTAATTGATCATTAATTGATCATCGAAACCTAACTGGTACCTATTGATCATTTGATCGTTAAGTTTACGTTAAACAGCTGCAAATTCAACAATTTTGATGCAATAATTAAAACTTGAAAAACCTCGAAGCTCCAAAGCGAAGGCCGAGTCGTTCGTAGTTGTCTTTGCCCTGTTTCAACTGGGAAATGGCATCAGCTTGCTCTTTGGTATATCCCAGAGCACTGCCGCTTCTTATTTTCGGCTTAACTCCGCTTTCCACAGTCACCGCCATCGTTTCAAACAACGACTAAAAACAACAATAAAATTGCCATTCTTTTGCTCAATGGAAAGCAAAAATTAACCTTAAAAATAGCTTCATTTACGATGCCCCTAAATGCGCTTAACAAAACTTAAGTTAGTCAAAAGAAGTTACACGACCTTAAATGTAACTGCAAGCTAAGAAGCATCTAATGTTTCATAAACCCCTATACAATGAGACACTGTTATCAAATATAAAAAAATTTCAGTATGATTTCCCCTATGTTTAGTTCTTCAGGAAACGTCAATGAAAGCGTTAAGGTCTTTTACTGATTGACCCTGTCGTTATACGTCACTTGAGGGTTCTCATTTGATATCTGTTGATTCTACCAATACTTGAATGGAAAAGAGGGGGATGAAAGAAATTCTTCATTTCTTCAAACAACAAACCCTCTTTTGGCATCTTGGCATGCCCTGTTCGAATAGTTTACTAAAGAATTTTTTATTCAATACTCAGCTAATCAGCTAGCAAATATTTTTGCCAATCACTAGCCGTTAAAATAAAATATGTAAATGTAGTAAACTGTCGATTACGCCACTTCTTCTGAATAAAGATGCAATAGCTTGCACATATTCTTCGAAATAAAAAGGGGAACCTACCTGAAACATTTCTTGAACACCGTCACCATTCTGGGCTGAGGTTTCGAAGTATAGGAGCCCCTTGCTTTCAGCCCACAGCCTCCCTTCACTCTCGTTTACTGTTCTGTTCGTCTGCCTATCTGTTTTGTTTGCACATACTGCTATCACAATTTTATCAACCTCAGCTGGGCTTCCAGCATCTTTTTTCAGCTCATCGAGCCAGCTACTTAGCATTTCAAAGGATTCACGGTCAGTGACATCATAAACAAGAAGGGCACCTTGGGTGTCTTTGTAAAACTCGTTACGAACCTAGGCAAATAAGAAGACGATACATCTTAACTATATGAGCAGACCATGGCTGAATTAGTATAGATACATGGGACATAGCAGAGGAGAAGTCATTTCTTTTTTCAAAAGCAAGCTACTGACAAAAAGCAAGGCTATCAAAAACATACCATAAAGAAGTCTAATTTAAAGATGAGCTTGTTGTAAACACACATTCACAACCATGTAACTATAATGGCAACCTATAACTTCAATTTAAACAAACTTTTATCTTTTTCTTTTACTGAGGAGTCACTGACAAGCATGTGGTAGTAGAGAATCAGTTGCAAAACAAGCTGACACAAAGCAATGCTTAGTGGAATTCCTAAGTCAGGGAGAACGAGATGAAAGAAAGAAACAGAGAAGACACATATCAATGCTTAGTTGTGTTCCTTAGTCACGGGGGACGAGATGAAAGAAAGAAAGAGAGAAAGATAGATGGAGAGAAGAAATAGGGAAGAGGGTTGAGAGAGAAAATAAGAAAGAAAAAAAGAAAGAAAGACAGACAATATAAGTGAAAGATTCGTCTTGTCAGTTACTCGAGTCCTAGAACCTTTGGATCCTTAGTCCACACCCAAACTAATGAGTTATCCTAACACCTGTTTAAACCATTACTACTAAACCAAAAATAACATGAAGTCGGTAGAGAAACTTTCTAAGAGTTTATTTGTATGGAATCAAAGAGGTAGAGTTCCTTCAAATAGAATACAATCATTGCAAACCTCATAAAAATAAGGATGCCCAGCCATATCAAAAATGTTCACTTTCAAGGTTTTTTCTCCAACAGACACCCTAAAACGAAGTAATGAAAAGATAGAGGTAAAAAATCATAGTTGACAATTTTCCGTAAGGAATACTGGTAAGAACGTGGAAGGCACCTTTTTAACAGTATATGCTTCAAAAGGAAGACAGGCAGAAACATTTGCTTTTCAGTTCTAGAAGTTGCATTTTTCTGAAACTAGTCCGAATATGAAATATCTCTAACTAAACTAACTTGTATCTAAAATGAATATCAAATAGGTCTTTTCATTTCGAATAGGCGACACTCTCTCCGAATTATTTACGACCCTAGCAAAACGTGTTACGCCCGCAAGAAACCGGAAAAGCAATTACGCAATTACAGGCCATCATTATTTCAAATAGCTACATCGAATAGTTTGTTTGAAAAACCGGAGGTAAACACGCAATTAGACACCCCAAAGGTTAAGTCATCTTCGGTCGTGGGCAGATGAAACCTTAATACCCCGTAAGGCCTGGAGGACCTCCTTAAACAAACATTGTTGGACGGTGTGACGGGTGATCAATCTAGTAAATTCACCCACGCGGACAGATCGTTGTTCTTGGAAAAAATCTTCATGAAAAGGCCTGATATAAGCAAAAGTGACAAAGAGATATTCCCCTTACGTTTCGCTTAGTATGTTATGTCTTAAGTAAGAGTTATGTGAATAACTTACTTGGTTACACCATAATCTATACCAATTGTCGACATATATTTTGACACAAATCTCTTCTCGCAGTATCTCTTTATAATGCAACTCTGAAAAATAACAGTAAAATTTTAATCGATGACCTATATATGTTATTGTTTCATATACAAATAAATTTTCGTTATCGAGTAATGAAAATGAAAGGTGCTCTGTCCATTCAGCTAGATTCCAAGAACTTTGTTACTTACTACTTAAAAGGGACCATTGTTTAATAAATAATACAGAATTCAACAAATAAATTCAATTCATTTACTTAAATGGATATGCATGTGATGGATAATAAATCAAATAAACCAATTATAATTTAATTGGTCAAACTGAATAGATTTAAGTTTTTAACCTAAAGCAGTTCTTTGGAAAATGGGATTTTCCTAATTCCATAGTCAATTCAGATTGCATTCAAGGTAAGTTAAATCGAAATTTTGAGCAGATAAAGATAGTTTCTGCCTTACAGGTATACAGTGTTATGAAAGGTTGATAATGACTTAAAACAATCAATATGCTCTCAGTACCGATTTTGCAGTATTAAAACTTGTTTTTGACCTATAAAACTGGACATAGCCAGGACAAAATTATTTTGGTAAGTCAAAAGTCCCACAGAGGAGTAAAAATGGAGACTTTCAAAATTAACATCATCTCAATCAATCCAAGGCAATAGAACCAGTTACAGATTAAAGCAGAAAGGTTGGGGAGGGTTTCAGATAAACTAAACAAGTTGATCTTGTGGCCATACATTTCATATAACTGGAAAACGATGGAAACGCCTGTTTTTAGCTTTGAGATAAAGACGATAAGAAGATAAATAAAGAAAAATTTTTAAGAAACCAAAAAATGCTTTTTACCAAATCAAAGGGACACAAAATTGTTAGGGGTGTCGCACTCCCACACACAGCAGTAAACCCATCCCTGAAAAGAAAATAACTACTTGGGGTGAGTTATATCAACAGTACTCTGAATGTTAATATCCCAACAATTTTTCAGGATATTTTATAAGGCCTTCATTATTTCTTTCAGGATAGTTAAGACCCCCTGTTTGTTATTTGAATCCCCTGTTTTTTCGTAGAAGGTGTTTGATTAGAAATGTTGACCTTCTCAAGGTCCTTGCTAATACTTTGAACTATACCTTCTTTACTTCATTACTAAAAAAACTGATTATCCTTTGATGTTGTCATACATCCCATTACTTACTGGTCACTTTCCATACTTTAAATAAAAGGATACTGGATAAAGTCTAGTACACAGTGAGTTCTTACAATATTGAGATGGTCATATGCACAGACTATTGGCATTTGGGTAATACCAAATGTGCTGGATTTTCTGATTACATAATTATACCCCTTTATAAATCAGGGATCTAAAACGGATTTTAACTAAACTCAAATTACCATAAACATAGCCCTCTTTAGAGTACTGACAGTAGTGACTTGGCTTATCAGCCCAAGTGATGGTGTATCTTTTAGCAAAAGAAAACCCTATCCACAAGCTGAAGACCAAAAAACAGGACTGTAAACAAGCAAATGCTTCAAAAATATATGTAGTGTTTTAAAGTGTCTATGGATTTGCATATGCATACCTTGCCTGTTTCTGCATTTCCCATGCTAATTATTTTCATTCTGTATGTCTTTTTGTCCTTCATTTTGCTTCTAAAAATACCACAAAATAAAATAATCAGAAATTAACCAAAGTTTTACATCATTTACATCATTAAATTTTCAAATTGCAATTTACAATCATACTTAATACTTCATACTTAATCTTCTTACTAAGAATTGGGAATAATTCAAAACATTCTTTATACCTAATTACAGCACGATCGTCAGGGGGATTGGGAGTGGGTAATGTGTAACTACTTCCTTTCCACGGGTATTTCTATTTTAAAGGCACTATGTCCTGAGGCATTTCAATGGCCATTTAAAATTTCCCATTGGTTTTGGAGTTAGCTATACCATATATTAAAAAATTTTCAAAAAAATTATCCCTACATCTGCCAAACAATGCTGTAATTAGAAGCCATTAAAATGATTGATGTTTAGAATTTGACTAATATCAAGCAATTTTAAAAACATTTTCATCTTCTGTTTGCATCTTTAAAAAACATTTTTAGGTGCTTATGTTTCAAGGCATAATTTACACTTTATCCTTCACATTCTGCTTAGTTTTCAATATATGATTTTTCAAATTCATCTATTTTCATAGCAAAACAATTTAAATAGAGGGCGGGAGTAGATCTGTCTCTATCTGTTTTCAATTTAAGTTTTCAGTGATTGTAAATCTAACCAAGGTTTCTTTGGTTCACTAAATGTGTGATTATCCATAAATGCTAAAAAACAATCCTGCAGAAAGTCAACTAGTATAGCAGAATAAAAGCAAATATACTGCAGAGTCTTGGCTGGACATAAGTTAAGGACCTTGCAAGAAAAAAGACTGCTTGTTAATATGAATCCCTAGACAATTCGGCTCCAGATAACCTATGATCTATAGAAACAAATGTCAAAATTTCACTACCTATAACAACAGGACAGAAACTTGAATGAGCCAAGTAGAGAAAACCAATCTGTCAACCTCCCTAAAAACACTCAAGAAAAACCTTTGGCTTTTGTTTTTTGCATCCTTCCTTAAACTATTAAATCTATAAGAATATGTTGTAATTAGGTATTTTCAGTTCAAGCTGGTCTTGTTGTAAAACAAAACTGGTTAAAATTCATGTTTTTTTATCGATCAAACATCAGACAAAAGCCTGATTTGACAACAGCACCATGCCCTCATTGGCCGTTGTAGAACAAACCATAATTTTCCTTAGCTAGCTAGCTGATATCCATAGTAATTGTGTAGTACTTGTGCCGCTTCTTTACATACTGTCGCACTAAGACAAACACATTTTTGCAAAGTGCCATAATAAAAGATTATATGTTCCTGTGTCAAAATCATTGTGAAAGTCTTGCTTGATGAAAAAATGCAATTCAAGAGCATGTAACATAATAACTTCTAAGGTAAGTAGGTGTGCATAGCTAGAACCAAGGATGATACTTTTCCTAACTGAATATCTGGATGATTAATGCAATTGACATTGGTTGCACCATTATAATAACAGCTGTTGAAGTTAATACTGATACATGGATCAATAAAAAATAATGGCTTGCAAGATATGACAAGATTGGCTAGGCTTGAAAGTTCTGTAGGATCAAAGACAAAATATACAATCAATTCTAATGTAGAAGAGAATAGAAGACAATAAAACCCCCTCTAGACTGCACAAACCAACAGTTTTTTGGTCCAGGTTGGAAAACCTGCTTATATGTTTGCAGCTATGTCATACTTCTTGCATTCACATCTGACCAGCAAAATCAAGCAATCATGCAAATTATAATTTATAAGTCAAGTATAAATGAGCATTGTTTCTTGTAGTTTGAATGCCTTTGTGCTCAGTTCCGCTTAGTTCAGTTCAGTATATATTTTAAAATTCCACTCTACATACAATTTATCATAAAATAACTATAAAATACGCACAAACGATTAAACATCAAAAATATTAGGTAACAATACAGAAATTGTAGTTCCCAGCTAATAGTGTCCTGCTGGTTGCAGCTATCCATAGCCACAACCATAAATTCTTTCCATTTCAATGTTGTCCTTGATTAGATTCCAGTCTGGCCAGACTGTAAAGTATTTTTTCTGCGCAGGGAATGCCAGAAGAATAATTTTGAAATTTGTGGATAACAAACACTACCCCGTGAAATCGTGCACGGAATTTGAAGCAACAACCTTCAAAGAGACCTTGTATTCGATGTTTTTTCTTGTTATCGGAAGTCAGAACTTTGAATGGTGGAATATTCGAGGGAAAAATGACCAGATAAACAAATATTTTGCACAGAATCCACGGCAGATTCTTAATGATGTGCGGACGGAAAGAAGGGCAACAATAATCGCGCGGGGAATGCATTCTGTGTGCACGACAGACCAAACTTTTCAGTCTAGCAGTCTGGCTCATGATTCATGCAGAGTATGGCAGTTTCCAGCAGGAACACACTCATGCATGCACATTTTACACATGTAAACCTCCTTTTACCTATCATATGGTGCACAAACAGAAATTTTCTAAGGCAATGCTATGTAAAGCTTTGGCAATTTATAAATCTTGGTGTGCAGCAGCTCGCATGCGAGACTCTGTAGACAGGAACATGACTAGTTACACAAATAAAACACACATTATTTATACTGCAGCCTTATCACTTGTATGTTTTGCTAATGTAACAGAAATTTGGCTGATTTGGGGATAGAAGAATAATAATAATTCTTCGAATCTCAATCTGAATAAATCTCAAACTTATAAATCTATAATCTTACCACAGTAAAGGCCTAATCATCGAGACATAGCCAAGAAATAAAGGAAGACACTTTTCTGATCAACCATCCTTTTACAAATACAGCCAACGACCCTGATATCGAATTTAAATCTCAGAAATCCGAACACCATAGCAACTTCCAACAATGTCCGCCATTTTCTTGATCTTTGCACTTTGATATTTTTAAACCACTGATCTCGATGTTTGAAACGGAGAATTCAGAAATTGAGAATGAGGCCACTCAAATGGCGTTTTCTACTGCGCAATTTGATAACTGACCTCAAGTGTTTATTTCCTTCCAAGATTGAAAATGTCGTGGAATCCCTTCAATAAATTAATAGCACCTAGGAAGTCGATTTCAAAGCCTTCTGAAGACAATGAATTTGAGGAAAGATTACAAGATATTGTGCAGATGGAACAGACCCTGAAGAGAATGCACAAGGACACCAAAAAGTTCATGGATTCTAGCTCAAGCTTGGCAAAGTTGGAACAAAAAATGGTCACCGACCTGTATAATAGCTCTAAGTTGATTAAGGACGCAGATGAACTTGAAAGCCATGCAGAAAAACTGAAGAACATCTGCAACGAAACTGAAAACTCCCAACAACAGCGTGATGTAATCACTAGGTCAACATTTGTTAAGCCATTAAAAGGCCTAAATGAGAAATTCGCTTGTATACACTCGGCAGTTAAACGAAAAGATCAAAGTCAACAAGATTACGTGAAATATTTAGCAAAGAGGGACAAGCTTGCAAAAGATCCAAGTACTTCGCAATCTGGAAAGTATGAAGCAAACGAAAAGTACCTTGAAAGAACAAAAACCGACTTTGAGAGGCGAACAAAGCAACTTCATGAAGATCTTCCAAGATTCTATTCTGAAGCTGTAAACTATTTTGACCCATGCTTCAAAGCATTTTTGCAAGGTGAACTTAACCATAACGAAAAAGGAAAATTGTTGTATGATGAGCTTGCAAAGGATTTCAAAGTTCCCAATGACATGACTGTGGAAGAGTTTAATTCACAAGTTGACAAGATGCTTGAAGAAATAAAAACTATTTCCATAGTCAAAGCTACTTAAATATAAACACTCAATTTATTTCATTGCAGAGTTAAAAAATATTTGGTAGAATTTGTTACACTCATTTATATAAAAAAGAATCTTTAATGAGGAAATACCTTTTCAAGTCTTAACTTTCAGGGAATGGGAGGCCAAAATTTCTTATTATTTTGACAAATTTTCCAAGCAAACTATTTGAGCCAATAATTATTGCAAAAATTTTTTTGGGCTATTCAACTTTAAATCAACAACTCCAAGTCTTCTGTTGAAGTAACATTCATAGCTCAAAAAAGAAAATTTTTGGCTAGATGTTAGTTGCTGTAAAGCAATTATAGGGATAGGCTTCCCCTAAGAAACATTGCCTGATAAAATGCTCTTAAGAGCAAACAAAACTTTTTCCGTAGAATCATTGAAAAGCAAAGTAACCATTCTTACTTAACAATGGTGTACATTTGCATTCTTTTTACAATAAACAGATATTTTACTTGAACTTTGAAACATAAGATGATAAATATTTTATCAACACATTTGTTGCTCTTTTAATCATAAAAATATGGAAAATTTATTTAGAATAGCAAAATAACTGAAACATCCCTTTAATAGCTCCCCCCCCCCTTCATTGTTTGGAGTTATTAATAATGAGCATATTAAGATTGAAGTAATATTTTATATGTTTTTCAAGTTTTCTTGTAGTAAAGTAAAAATTAGAAGGTTAAAAGTGTAAAATTAGAAGGTATTAAAGTGTAAGATTAGCTTTTCCACTAATGAATCAGTTCATATTATTGTAATATATGTACAAATCATATTAGATATTTTCCGAAATTAGTGTTGTCAATGTTTCAGATTTCCTATCTGTCATCACTATTACAAAACCTGGGGGCTTTTTGCTCCCATTATTGCTTGTGGGGGTTGCTATAGTTTGGGTGAAGCTTTTCAGAAAGTATTCCCAAGGCTACTAACATCAGTATCAATAAGACTTAATCTATTTGAAAGGCTTATCTTAGGAATCCCTCATTAATGAAATAATTTTAAAAATTAGGATGTGCATGTAATTGAACATCAATTCACCAATAAGCATGTTTCCTTTTTTGGTTTATAAAGCATTAATGATCTTGAGTCTCCATTTTTTTAACCACAAGGTTTCAGCTAGATTTAAGCAAAACTCACGGTATATGCCACTGAAAAAAAGTTAAAAAAACTTTCAACTTGCATCAAAATAAAATTTGATCAGAAATAACCTAAAACTCCATAAAATTCGTATATGAAAGTATTAAAAATTACTTTAACTTAAACTGTTTGTTTAAAAGGTTTTAGCTAAAGTGAAATATCCGAGGGGTGCACCAGTAAAAATGGTCAATTTTCAACAAGTAATTTTTTTCTCTGATTAAGCCCTGTATGCCAGGGTTAAATATCAGTTTAAATATCGTTTTATTTTTAATACTCATTGCAAGAGTCACATAATCCGGCGGAAAGCCTATCCTGCGGTTCTTCTTTTTTTCGACTGGAAATGTCACAAAAAATGACTTGAAACAAAATGTGCATTATTCAGCGAACTGGAAGCATCAATATTTGAAAATTTTCTCTCCATTTCACTGCAACGAAGGGCCGCCTCAGGTAGTATTGATTCGTCCTATATAGTAACAATTACTCCTGATTTTTATGATGATCATATACATCTCAATCAGACCATTAATGGCAATCAACAGATACTAAAAAGGCTTAAGCCACCTGTCAATCAATATCAGCCAATGGACAAGCGTGAGAATGCTATTACGCGCACTGATTGGCCAGTTATTAATGGACAGAAAGTTTTGTCCACGTTAGTAATTCTCGATTGCCTTTAAGATAGGACTTTTTATGAATGGTCTTTTCCTCTTCCTCTCGCATAATATGAGGTTATATTTAACCATTGATAGTAGATAAGCTGAGTCCAATACACAAGAAGGTCATTTCTCACAATGACACACATATACACAGCTGCATGCAATTATCACATTAAACTTGTGCAACTCCCTGTTACTTGAAGTTTATTTTGTACCTTGATGTAGATGTGTTTGTTAACCAATGCATTTCACTTCGGCGTTTTAACGGTTATAATAGTTACAATTAACACTCCAGCATGAACCTAAATAAAAAACCTTTCTAAGAACATTTGCTCGCAATGATTGGCGAGAAGAAACCTTTTGTAATAATATTTAATATTACGATAAAGTATCAATCATGCCCAGATAAAGCAAAAAATTTGCATCCGGTAGAGAAGTGGGGTGGAAGAAGAGTACAAATGTGTATTTAAATTGAGGCAGGAACTTTCGACAGCCAACAAACTCGAAAAAATTTATTACAAGTGCCAAAATTTCTGAAATTGCTGAAGCATGATGTTGAGGGCTATCCCCCCTGCTCCACGGTCTCTCTCTCTCTCTCTCTCTCTCTCTCTCTCTCTCTCTCTCTCTCTCTCTCTCTCTCTCTTCTCTCTCTCTCTCTCTCTTCTCTCTTCTCTCTCTCTCTCTCTCTCTCTCTCTCTCTCTCTCTCTCTCTCTCTCTCTCTCTCTCTCTCTCTCTCTCTCTCTCTCTCTCTCTCTCTCTCTCTCTCCAAACGTCTGAAACCTTTGACAGGATGCGTAATTTTTCTTAAAGACAGCTTTAATTTCGTAGCAAGAGATTTTTCTAGGTTGACCATATCGGGCAGATAAGCTTCTAAATAAGTTAGTTGAGAAGTACAACATCATAATTTCCAATAGATTGATGCTTACAGATATTGCTAGCCTGTCTTACGCTCCCTAACCTCTTCATACGCAGGCTAAAATATTGCTTACGCGCTTTTTCCAGTATTCAACTTGAATTTCTCACATTTCCATGAGAAACTAGCAAGATGGCAAACTGGTTATTCAAATTTAAAAACGATATTTGAAGAAAGACTATATAATGTGACAAAAAGTGGAGTTCTGATTTTTCTCATAACAAAGGGTGACAAATTTATTACCTGGCATAGAATATATAAATTCTTCCAATGCTGCAACTTACGACAACTTCAGAATCAGAGGCAAGAAGGAGTGCAAACTAAAGCAGTGATAGCAAGGTAGGTTAAAATTTTGTTTAAAGGTCTTCTTCAAATTTGATGAAAAGAGTCAATTTTACCTATCTTCTGAAGAGATGTCTTTTTCGAGTTGAAAACTTTGAAGTGATAAAACAGTGATATTTTCTGATTCAACCTAAACAATTGGAACAAGTATGCAATCTTGAAAAATTTATCAAGCATTTTAGAACAGCCAATTACAGAGGAAACAAAGATTTAAAACATTGCAGGCAAGACGACGTAGAATAATTGGTTACTATATAGAAATTTTATAGCCGTTGTCAATTACTTTGTTATTGCAAAATTGAGTTCAACAATAAATTTGAAATAGCTGTCTTTTTCTGTCAAATAAAAACGGAATGCAGTTTTTCAGTATCATTTCTTGCATGATTAATTGTTGAATATCACAGGTCTGGCTTTATTTACCTTAATTTAGACTATATAACTAGATGTCTTTTCTTAGATTTGTCTTTGCTTATTGGAGAAATTGTCCAGCTATTCGTACTATCATGCGATTCATACTATCGCGGATCTTCTTTAGACAAGTGCCTACAGTTCGTGGCTATTGCATTTAACTTTCATTGTACAATCAGCTGCAAGGAAGGCATAATATAGTGACCCTACTTTCAAATATTCTTCTTTTCTTTCAGAGACCAAAGCATAATCATAATAATGGTGTTCAAAATTGCATGTCTTTTGTCACTTGTACTGATCGCCACAGCTACACCAGTGGACGTGAATCAGGAAATTCTACAAGATGCTTACGAACAGGAGAAAACAGAAGATAAAAACCCGATAGAAATCGACGAAAGTGAAGGCAAAGTCATGTACTGTGTTCCAATTGAAGGCAATGCTCCTAAATCCAAAAGAGGATTTGGCATCACTCCTGGAAGGGGTCGACCTTCCAAAGTTGATCCCAGAAAGTATTTCCATCATATTTTATTCAAACTCTTTGGAAGATGATGCAATAAGAAAATTTAAGTGTGACAAACTATTTTAGCTCATATTTATCCTACTAACGACACTTGTATCTTGAATGCTACACAAGTTGCTTTGCTGAATATATTATATAAACTACGAATGCGATCTATGTCTCTTAATTTTGAATGATTCTGCAAAAAGGTCCTGAAAAAAAGGACCGTTAACAATTGTCAAGTATAGAATGAATCCATAATGAAACTGTCTATGGAAAAAAGCAAAATTTAAGAGAAAACATCAATAAATAATAAAATCTCTGTAACTTTTAACAGACTGAAGGATTTGCAACAAAAATATTGTTTTCAGTCAACCTTCAAGGTCCATAACAAAAATGTAAATTATTAGCGGATAAATTTTAAAAAACCAATAAACGAGGGAGGGTGTTCATTGACCACCTTAGAGTCTCTTTTTTACAGCAGGACAATCATTTATCATTCTTGAGCTTAACCCTAACAACTAGGCCTAAATTTGTTTTTAGTCGGTAAATGTTACGGAAATCCCAGATGCCTACAAGAAAAGCATAAACAAGGGAACAATCTTTTGAAGTTTATCTTTGGAAGTTTTTAACTTTTGAAGTTTATCAAGACAGGTTTCACTTACATTACCCAAAGCAGGGCAGTAATATCTAAGATAGGGCTCTACATCTAGGCTGTTTCACATCTGTTTAACAGTTGATGCAGGCACAAATCTTTTAGAGTACCGCAAGAAGCCAATACCCTCGGAAATCTTACTTATGAGGCTAGTTGGGATGAAAATTTCAATTTCTAATCTCCTTGAACTTGTGAGAGTTGAATGGGTGATCGAAGACCTGACTGGTCCAAAAATATTTGTTAATTATCGTTGAAATCGTCAGTGAGAAGTGAGGCTGAAATATTTATTTAGGGAGGGTGCTGATAGCAGAATCATATCGAGGATTGAAGGATAAAGAACACCTCAGATAAGTGTCATCAGCAAAAGAATGGCAGTGGAAGACTGCAGATCATTGATAAAAACGTATAAATAAAACAAGAGATATAACAGAACCCTGTAGAACACCGGTATTACCTGGGTGGGGACAGGAGAGGTAGCCGTCAATTCTAATGGCTATGTATTTATCAGACAGAAAGCTGCCAGTTAAATGTTTACGGGCTTGATGCAAACTGTACACGTGGAGTTTAAAAGAGCTTTGTGCAAGACGCAACCAAAGGCTTTGAGACGTCGAGAGAGATCACTCTACTCTCACGAATGGAATCTAAAGCAGATAACTTAAACTAGCACACGCTAGCAGATCACCAGCTGTTCTTGCTTGAAGAAAGCAATACGGTTGATCAGAGTTTGCTTATTTTAAAGAAGGTAAGCAATAGTTTGGTTAGTATGGTCCCGTTGTTTGAGAAAAGCAGGAGGTGATTGTGATTGGACGGTAGCTAATTCGGTCAAACTTGCATCTCTTTTTAGGTAAAGGAAAAATACGGGCTTGTTTCCAGGAAGATTGAATAATACCAAGTGAATAGAAGAGCTGGAAAATTTTGTTAAGAACTGGTGCGAGTTCCGGGACACGACTTTTTAGAACATTTGATGATATACCATCATGTACTGTTTATTAAGCAGTGTTTAGTAGGAGAAGATCTTCGTGCACTTTGCGGGTGGACAACACGATTGCCGTAATGAATAGAGTAGAACTAGAAGGAGAATAATGTGACAAGGTCAAAATCCTTGCACATTAAGATTTGAATTTGAGGCAGGAGTTAATGCGTGGAAGTTGGCCTTGGCTAATGCTGGGCTAGAAGAGGGT